TAGAAATATATTTTTTGGTAATTACAATTGATGACAAATTAAGATAAACATTAATAATACTTTAATTTAAAAATAATAATTTATAAAAAACAATAATGATATTATATTCAAAGATAAAAAGAATTTAACTTAGGAAAAAAGTTTATAAGTTTAAGGTCAAAAATAACTAGTTGAAGTTAAAAATTAATACATTTTAAATTAACAATAAGTTAAAAGTTATTAACTTTTTAACTTTTAACTAATTAACTAATTATTACCCAACCCTAGTAAATTAATCGAACATATTTTATATCTCATATTTTTATTTGTGATAAATATTGATCAGAGGAACTCTTACAAAATTCTTGCATGAATTTCAAGATAAATTCTAAGAGAAAATTTAATGTAGCTTAAAACAGATTGTTATTACGGCAAAAAGCACATTTCGAATATGAAGAAAAATGAGTTCGAATTAACGAATCAATTAATTAATCATTCTACAAAGGATTATTAATTATCTTCACAAGCGTGCCGACACAATCCCGAAGTCTTAGTTCGTTTTGTTCGAGTCATAATTTTCTCTCTCTCGATCCTCGAAATTTTTCATGCGCCCTCAAAGGAACTTTGCTTCGCGCGATGACCTTATTGTTGCGTGACGCGCAACAGGCGGAAGCAAGGAAGTAAAGAAGGAAGGAAGGAAGAGAAGAGCTAAGGGCGCCGCGCCGGTGTCGTAAAGGCGAATTGAACACGTGAGCGCCGAACGTGAACGGAAGAAGCGCGGACGAAAAAGAGGGGAAAGTTCGGAACTTTGGCAGATGTCCATTACCACGGCACACACGGATGCACGCACACACGACTTCCTCTCTCGTTCTCACGAAAAGTCAAATAGCTTGTCCCGCGTGTTGTCGTTTTTATTGTCTAACATTTAGCGATATCCGTCCGTCCTCTTCTATAAGTCATTCGTCTCGCTTCGAAAGTTTCGCTCGGCCATATTTCTCGTCTTCAGGGGAATTGCGAAATGTGAAAAGCTATCAATTCTTTATTATATTCTGTCATATTACGATTGACAAACGAAATAATGAAACTTCTCTTATACAAAATGAAATCATTATATCTATCGAGAATTTACTTTGATTTTGTAATTACTTATATCTTGTGATGAAGAGATCAATTTTTTTACTTATATCTAATATATAATATAATATATTTGTATTGTACATATTGAAGGCTATAAAATATAACAAAGATATATTTTTGTCTGGTGTCACAAAAGACATGCATAGCGTTTATCTTCCTAGACAAGTAAGCAGCTGTCAGTGGCACCTGCTTCTGTTGTCGCCTCTCAAGTAAAAATGTATGAGTGTACTCCAATATTTCGCTTGACAATTTTTCAAAATAATTGAAGCTTCTCCGTGTGTCACTATTATTTTACTCAATTTTATTATTTGGCTCTTTAAGGATGAGACAGGAACAAGCACGTTTCCTTCTATAATCCATTAAGAAAAAGAGAGACCCTAATATTTCTGCGTCCATTATTTGAATACCCTAAGGGTTTTATATTATATATATATATATATATATATATATATATATATATATATATATATATATATATATATATAATAAAAATAAGAGAAAAATTCTCTGTAAAAGCTACTATATATATATAGTAGCTTTTACAGAGAATTTTTCTCTTATTTTTCTGAATCTTTTTTATACTTTTTCATGTTTAATTCTTTGAGCCCACTTTGTCCATGAGTCTTGCCAATTAAAATTGATTAATAGGCATCCCAGAATAGCATCTCTCATTTCTTTTTTGTAGAGCACGTATAAATTTGTGCGTTACACATAAGATTTTAAATTATTAATAATTGTTATTGCAATTCGTAAAACTCTTCACAAAATTTATCATATTAATTTACAGTTTATAAATGACGAATTAATATTTCATGCTTATTTCAATCGTATATTTATTCAATCGTGCAATATATTTTTTATTATGAAGATTATATTTGTGTATATGTATATAATTATTTTTTTTCTTAAAGTGACTGTATAATCACTCTGGTTTTTTAAATTATTTTATTTTTTCTACTATCCCATTTTCTGCACAATGATTGTTTTTCATTTATATATCAAAATCATTACTAACAATAAGTTGCTATGTTTCCACAAATGACGAGGAATGTCGAAGAAATTCTTTAGCACTCCACGTGCTTAAAAAGGATTTAAGTTCAAGGATGGCACGATTGTTAGAAGCTTTTCGAAGGTGAAAGCCTTTACGTAACGTACTGCTAATTCGATATATTTTCGACTTGGCATCGTTTTTATTCATAGGAATTAGTAATGATTATGTAAATTTTTTATAGCAGAGATACTTTTAATTTCTATATATATTTATACATGTATGTATGTAAATTCCAAATTACTTTTTTATGTATCTTTCAAAAAATTTCGCTAACATTACTATTATTATCTGAAAGGATTGTGACTATTTTTTTTACTTTCTTTCTCTCTTTGTGTTCTGTAAAATTATATTTTCTTGTTATTGAAAAGGGTTGCTTTAAGGACAATTTATATCAAATTTTGAATGAGTAAACGAAAACTTGTAAGTTGTTATTTCGATATGTATGGAAATTTATAATTGCAGCGATGTTTTTTCTTACTTTCTTGTATCGCATGTAGTACAGACTTTTAAGTATTCAAAAGACACGTAAATGTACACGCACCTGCAGTGGAACTATATGTACGTATTACAAGCTGCAAGATGTGACGTTATCGATATCTAACATATAAAAGATCGATTATAATTATCGAATCGAGACGCGAGACATATGTATAATTAATGTATGTACTTAATATTATTTCGTATATGTAGTACATCTTGGACTATCAATCTAAAGATATGTATAAGGATAGATTCATATGTTAGTTTTAATAGAGATAAGGCTTTTTTTGTTATTGTGATGATCAATTTTATTTAGAAACCAGCGCTTGCTATAAGAGATCGCGTCGTTGTGAAAGAAGTTATTTCTTCGTAATTGAACGAGTGATGTCGTTTTAGCTTGTTTGCATTCCATGGCGTTGAACTGCTCGTGATGACGTAACTTCGTCTTTCATATCGCTCACAATGTGTAGCAAACATTAATATGGTGCCTGAAATGAATCGCGTGATAAAGTCATACACTATGCATTATGTATAATATTATTATATGTAACAAAATCATTTTCATATAGCAAGAATTTTTTTATAATTTTCTACGTATAACAAATATTATTTCTATCGATTTATGGCATTTTTTCTGGGCATTAACGACGTACGATATTTTTTTATTTAATTAATTATTGAAATAGATTCATTAGAGGTGAAAATATTTCTAATTGATGGCATTCGCCATAAAGCAAAATAGGAACGATAGGATTCCGAGCCATCTACAGCACACATGTTTATAAAGTCATACACTATGCATTATATATAATAAATTATTATATATAACAAAATCATTTTCATATAGCAAGAATTTTATTTATTTATTTTTTTACGTAATAAATATTTACAGATTTGTGGTATTTTTTCTGGACGTTAACGACATATTTTTTTATGATATTTTTTTTACTTAAATCATGATTGAAATAGGTTCATTAGAGGTGAAAATATTTCTAATCGATGGCATTCGGCATAAAGCAAAATAGAAAGGACGATAGGACTCCGAGCCATCTGCAGCACACATATGTTTACAACGTGTACATACGCTCGTGGTACTCTGCGAATGCTATCGTTGCATAAGCTGAGCATATCCCCAATCGCGTTTCACCCTGGACTCTCCCTCGATATATATGCAGCTGTTGGAGGGAAAAGGGGAAAAGCGAGGGTGAAGCAGATTGCGCGGTACATAGAGGAGCCTTTTTGCCTTCTGTTCTTGGTACTATGCATTGTTATCTGGAGCCACGCCGGATAATGCGCAGATTCACCTCTGCGAAAAATCAGCAATCTATTTTCACAATTTAATTATCGATATAATTAATCTTTTTTTTCGAAGAGAATTCTGACGAGTGATTCTATAAAAATGATAGAAATTACATTGAATTAAAAAAATAAGGCGATGATTGTTTCTAATAAAACTGAATAAAAATTATTATTTGATATAAGTAACTGTGTTATTCAGTCTTATATCTTATAGTCTTCTAAATAAATGAAATTTTTTAACTGATGGAGGGTGATTGAAAGAGGATGTATGAAGAATGTAAAAAGTTAATAAGGAAGCACTCCAATTACCTGTCTAACGTGACAGGAAATCACAAAACAAGGAAATATCAAGTCTTTCGTGACCACAGAAACCGGTATTTTCGCGGTCAAGATTACTTCCCGAATAGCGAGGGTGAAATTAAGAGGGAACAACAATGATAAAAGTTACGCGACAAAAGAAAGGAAGCGTTAAAATCGGGGCGGGATATTCACCCATCCGTGATTTCCGTCTCAGTTGTTACTTCCCATCAGATAAAAGACATACATATAGTTGTATTCCTTAAGCTTCCGTATTGTCAGAATCTTGATTCAAACGTGATTATAAATCTCACATTACGGAAAGGTATAGAAACTCGTTTTCTTATAATTCTATTATTAGCAGTCTGGGAGATTACAGAGCATTGATAGAACACTTTAATTTTCTATTCTCTATTTTTTATTGATGTCGTTAATATTAACAAATTTAAGAATATCGATTATTAGAAAAAAAAAATCTTTTTTAAATGCCTACAGACTTACAAAACACTCCATAACACTCGATATGTTGTTGTATTATCATCTATATTTAATGAAGACAATTTAATCTTGTAATTATTTATAAAAAATTACTAATTAATATTTACATGATTTTTAGCTCTCGCACTATATATTTATAAAGACTATTTTTTAATATTATTTTTTAAATATTTTTATTTGGGATGTTTGTTTTGACACACAAATTATTTTATTGTATATATATATATGTCGTTATAATGTATCTCATTGTATATTTCAGATCTCGCTCTAGATCTGGTTACGATTCCAGTAGTGGCGCAGAATCCGACAACGAGTATGGCACGAGTATGGTGATGGTTGGTCAAGGCAATCAAGTACAAAATCAAGTGCAAAATCAAATATCCATTAACGTTTCAAGTCATGGACAAGGAAAACACATAAATAAAGGAAGATGGACCAAAGATGAAGTAAGGCTTCTATTATATCAGAAAAACCGAATTAAGAATTTATATTGTAATAAATATAATTATAATTTTTTAATTATTTTATATGAATAATATAATTCAAATAATTTTTTAATAACTAATATTTTTTATTTTAACTTTGATATACCATAAAATATTTAAAAATATTAATAAGTTTCTAATGTTAGTAAAGAGTTTAGTTTCTCTCAATATAAAATTAAATTTGTTGCAAAACTTTATTTTTGAGACTTTCCTTTTTGAAGATATATTGATTCCGATAGACATTTTTTATTAAGGGACAGGCAGGCCTGTATCGTTATACTGTATCGGTTCTATGTAGCAAATTAAGGGAGGGACAATATATAAATGTGCGGATCCCCCCAAAAAAAATGTCCACCCTTCGTATTTTCTACAACGAGTTGCATGCCGGGGCAGCCGAGGCAGATGCCTTGGTTACCCCATAGAACATAGGGTGTACTGTACGACTTCACGTGGGAAAGCCTACAAAGGTCGATCGATCTCCCATGTGCCGCATGTTGCGCTTTCCTCGTCCTTCCTCGTCTCGTGAAGCGAAATACTTTCACATTACTTTTCTTTTTACAGGACGCTTTATTAAAGCAACTAGTGAGCAATGCAGAACAGAATTCGCTCGGCACTAGTCTACGATGGGACATTATAGCCAGTCATTTCCCAGATCGGAGCGACGTCCAGTGCCAACAGAGATGGGCTAAAGTCGTGAATCCGGAGTTAGTCAAGGGTCCGTGGACGAAAGAGGTAGAAAATTGAAATAAATCAAAAATATTTTCGAAATTCATGATTCTTTAATAATTTTATGTAAACATATATAGAAAATATATGCATAATATAATCACATATGTAAATCCGAATTAACTTAGTTTATAGCCCTAGAATTTATACAATATTTTCTAAATTCATGATTCTTCAATATAAACCCGAATTAATTTGTTAGTACAGACCTAGAATTTATGAATATCGCTTACAAAAATTGTCAATATTTTTTAGAAACTATATAAATTATTTAAATTCTACACTTTTCTAAACGTTGTGTTTTTTAGAATCAAATTTATATCGTACTGTACTAATATTGCAGAATAATTGTATTGTATCGACTTTTTTCGATGCCGGATGAATTTTATATATATATATATATATATATATATAAATAATTATATTATATTATTTATATATGTTATGTATTATCACTCAAAATGATAAATATGTGTGTGTGCAATGTAATATACATAGATATCGCTGACAATGAGTGATTATTGTATGTCACTGTACATACCACCTACACGACGAATTGCATGCATACTCGGATCTCAACATTGCCGCTCGTCTCGATAGAGAATGCAATAAGAAAAACGCAATAATGCTGCATCGCCATGCCAATGCACTTGGCAACAGCCAAGGACACGTAATGCGGCCTCGCGAATCAAGTCGTGCATACGTATTGTTATGGCTTTTTTCTTATTGTAACATCTCTAGGAATATGAATTATTGAATATTTTCAAACTCGGTTATTCGTATAAATATCGTACAAATATCGCTCGATATTACAAATATTAATAAATTACATATAATAATATTAGATTTATAAAATATAAAAATTAGTATAAAAATTTTTTATTACATTTTTATTATATTTTTTAAACTGTGTATTATATTTTGTATAAAATATAATGTTCTCTCTTGTCTTATAGGAGGATGAGAAAGTGGTTGAACTCGTAGAGAAATATGGTCCGAAAAAGTGGACATTGATAGCACGAAATCTTAAAGGCCGTATTGGTAAACAATGCCGAGAACGATGGCACAATCACTTGAATCCGGAAATAAAAAAAACTGCGTGGACGGAGGCTGAGGATAGAATAATCGTCGAGGCTCATCGTAAGTTTGGCAATCAATGGGCGAAGATTGCCAAGCTGTTGCCGGGTAGGACTGATAATGCGATTAAAAATCATTGGAACAGCACAATGAGAAGGAAATACGAAAGCGAAGAAGGAAGAGCCGCGATCAAAGGTACTATTTGTAATATATAGCGTATATAAAATGTATAAAATTTAATATAATAGTCATAAATATTTGCTAGTGGTAATATTTTTTAAATTTAATATAATGTGCGAATTATATTATATTATATTATTAATTATATATATTTCTCATATTCCATAAAACTGACTTGTGGAAATAATAAAAGATCTTACAGGTAGGGGCAAAAGGAAAAGTACAGAAGACACTACTACCATGAGAGATCTAGAAGACGGCGTTTGTGATCCAAGTCGGATAAAAACTGAGTTAATCGATGACGAGAATGTCTCACCGCTAACAATCGGCGGCACTTCGCAGACTCTCGATATTGATTTGGACTGGATAAAAACTTTGGACCATCAGCACCTTACATCGCCAGGATACTTGGATACAATGTTATTGTCAAACAAGTGTACACGCGACAATGAAAAGAACATGCAATCTCCATCGAAGAGAGCTTCTTCTCGAACGAAATCTGAGACGATTCCATCATTCTCCAAGTATGTTTGTCTTCGAAATAATATAATGTTAATGTCTGTTGTCTTATTCGTTTACAGATTTTAATTATTTTCTTTCTCGCGCATCTTTTTCGTGCAGATATTGCAGTATGTTAGAAGAAACACCGAGAGGCGGGGAAATAAAATTAATACCGATGCCTGACTTGGAGGAGATATCTGTGCATACAGATAAAAAGAGTCCGCCTCCTATATTACGCAGACGCAAAAATATACATTGTCTGCAGAGGCTAGAGGATACTCCTGACAGCGGAAATCAATCCTTAGATTACAATATAATAGTTCAACAAACGCAAACGGGAAACACAACTCCTTCGACTCCTATCAAACAGCTCCCGTTCAGTCCCTCGCAATTCTTGAACAATCTGAGTCCGGAAACATCCTGGCCGCGCGCGAGTACTCCTAAAGGGAGCAGTCCCGGTCCCCTTACGACTCCGCAACCTACCGGTCTTCGGCGAAATCAGAACGGTAGACTTCAAATTTACTTATATACGTTTTATTAAATAAATCCTAATCTATGAATTCAATATATAATTTATATCGAAATCTTTCTATTAAGATAATATTTTATATAAAAAATATCTATATAAAAAAGTTTTAAAAGATATTTTTTTAGGAACTAATATTTTTATCATACTTTTACAGACGATAATACACCAAGGACACCGACGCCGTTTAAAATCGCTATGGCCGAGATCGAACGACTAACTGGAGTGACACAGTTACCCGCTACTCCTAGTCGTCTGGACGCTCTGACGGAAATAATCAAACAGGAGACCGATCGCGAGAGTCTGGCTAGTACGAGTACAATTCTCCAGGACTCGGGTTACAACACAGTACGAAGACGCGGCAAAGAGAACAGTGCGCCAGGAGGAAAACGAGCGCGCAAGGCTCTTTGCCAAGCTTGGACCCAAGACAATTCCGAGATGAGTTTTCTCGTGGAAACACCAGTACGTTACGGATAAAATAAATGGCAAATAGAGAGGTTGCGTTCAGTGAATCCAATAATTACATGAGTGATTGACTTTTTGTAGCCGCGGCGAGGATCCAGGAGTCTTAATAATAATAATTCTTTAATTGTTGTATTTGATTGAACGCACTCTCGCAATTTACGAGATGTGTACAGGATAATAATGTGTTTGCTTTTATTTTCGTAGAGTAAGAATTTGGACGCCTCCATGCTATTCTCACCCGAATCCATGGCACTGGAAGATAGTTTCTTAACGGCAGGAACTAGTCCAGTAAAGGTAGAACAACAACGTATCCAAAATCAAATTCATAATCAACCCGCCCTATCTTGGTATTATTCCCGTACCAATCGTCCTTAGACACGCTAGCCGGCCTTTAACTTTCTTTTAACGCTATGTCTATGCTTCAAGTTTTTTTTGCATCTTTGCTTTATACGTATAATGCTTATTCTCTCATTTGAGAAATAAAAGTCTAATTAGCGCAGAAGATATCAGTAACCTGCTATTCTTTTTCTTTTTATGACTATCCAGATCTTTCCATATCTATTAATATTGCCCAATCCAAAGATTATCGTGTATATTCTTGTTAATCTTAGGTATAATATATAATATATAATAAACTAACATGTACGGCATTTATGGAGACGCTCGATTTATTTATTTTAATTTATTTCAATGCGTCGTTTGCCTTGTTAATTATTTATATGTAGTATTATCTTTATTATTTTATTAGGACAGAGCCTTATTAATTTATACATCGTAAAATTAGAGAGAGAAAATCATTATACGCCATTCAATTTTGATTAACAAAAAAGTACTTAAATTACATGCCTGAATATTTTTATATTATATAGATATTTTACGTCGGTTTTACTTTACGAAATTGTCATTTATATTTTTCGCTCGAAAAAATTCATTAAAATTAATAATTATTATGTTTGAAGCGTGTACATATAATATCGGTATATAACCGATCTTGTTCCGTTTTTGTTTGCTTCGCTCTTATTAATTTTGCTGAAAGTGGATTCTAACACAATATCGTGAATAATTATATTAATAATGCTATACGCAAATGAACATTAACACGTTAACGAGCATTAACACGTCATGTTTCGAAACAATGTCATTCCTATATTATTTTGTTATTTCGAATGTTATCCTCCCATTCATTTCAGTCCTTTTTTTATAAATTAAGTTTTAGATGTAGTCCTGCACGAACGTAATGTTTTTTTAAAAATGTTTTTTTAATGTTTTTGTATATATATTTATATTAATATTTATATATATTTATAATATTTATTACATATATATATATTAATATTAATATATATTATATATAATATTGTATCAATAATATATGTATATATGACTATTATAAGTATAAATATTATGTAAAATAGATATTTTTGTTTTTTTATACGTAAAGTTGTCGCATGTTAATTATGTACACTAACTGAAAAATCATCCTCTTTATACAGGCCTGGTCTAGCGTACCAAAGTATCTCAACCTCTTCCCGATCCAAAGATATTTATGCGCGGTATCCAGTCGAAAACGACCTGCACGGCGCGTATCAAAAACGTAAAGGCCTAGTCTTCTTTTTATTTGTATCTTTACGAAGTCAACAAACAAAATTGTTTTTTCTTCTTTTTTCTGGAGAATTTTAAGAAATTTTTATTTCCTCTTCGAGTTTAAAAACCAATAGAAAAAAAGACGAAAATAAGTAAGATTTTTAAATTGTGAATTATTAAAGATAATTAATTAATTTGAGAAAATGTTGTTTTGATAAAATTATAATACTTACAAATAGCAGCAATCATAAATACTTCTCATCCTGGATCAAATCGCGCAAAAATCCCCATTGTCACCCAAAGGCCTAGTCATTCCACAAATTGTGGGCACTCTATTTCTTCTTCTTTTTCTCCTCTCTTTCCTCTGTGACACGAAATTGAATAAGCGAGAAAAATATGAATGATGCTCATACAATACTAATTTGTCATATATAAAATTTTTGATTGTCATAGATTTTTTCATAGATTTCAGAAAATTATAAAATTTTCAAATGTCAAGTCAACGCGTAACTCTATTTTCTAAGAATAGTAATCTCTTGTTTGCCGGCTGCAGCTAGTGTGTGTCTATCCTTTCCAGACTCCTCACGACATTACGTCCGTACAACTACGGAAGCCAAATGCCAAGAGAGCGATTACGTTCGACGTGTTCGACAGTCCTTCTTGTATCTTCAGTCCTCTGCCTCTTAGGCCGACAAAACGACTGAAGGTGAGTTCTTGTAAATATTTGTATTTTATATAGAAATATTGTATAAATTTTGTTATAAATTTTTTCAGATTATTCGTTTAAATTAACGAGGTTTACATTGGAAACGAAAAGACAATTATCGAAATTGTAATCCTACTATCCTTTACATTAATTATATATAGCTAATTGAATATCACCATGCAACTATGTTTATATTATAGCCAATATTATGATTAGAAAGAAGCCAAAATTTTGAATAATACAATAAAAGTCGCGATGAATGTAGAATTAATATAGAATTTTTATGGAAATGCACAATTTATGTTAGCGGCTTGAAAAGTATTTTTATTTGAAAAATATGATAGTCTTGACATACACATCTTAATATTAAACTTTTCATATTTATATGTATAGTAGAAATATGTCATTCAATTTAAGTTGCAAATTGTAATCAATTTGCCAATAATTATAAAATACACATATATAGAATTAAATATAATAAATTCTGCTTATGAGAACAAATCGGGATCATTTCGTATATAAAAGTAGCTTTTTTCCAGATTATTTCAGAAGTTATGTGCCAAAAATAAAAGATTAAATCTCGATAAAATAACCTGCTGTTTTTCTCATATATTGTAGCTTAGATCTACTGAACAAAAAATGTAATAGGCTCAAAGCTAAATAATAGATATCGATTTACAGTCAGTCAAATACGAAAAATTCGGGCTTTGTTTGACTAGCTGTAATTCAGAAACTATCCAATATTTTAGCTTTGAGACCTTACATTTTTTGTTCAGTAGATCATAAACTACAACGTATGAAAAAATCAGCCAATTCCACCGAAAAGCTAAAATCTTATGTATTTGTTACGGGGTTCTTTTATTATTACGATACCGTTAATTTTTATTATGAATGTATATTGTATTGAAATCACAATTCTACATTGTTTCCCTTTTTCTTCGCAGTCACAATTGGAACCACAATGGGCAACAGTGGCATGTGGTCGCACGCGTGACCAACTCGAGATGACTCGCGCCGCCCGACGTTTTCTAAGCAGTCACGGATACCTGCCGTTACGTCCACGTTCTTTGAATTTTTGAAGAAGAAAGTAGAAGAAAAAATGGAAAAGCGAAAAAACCGCAAGTCGCTCGGTCGCACTTGTACAACAAAAAAAAACACAAAACTAGTCGTAGAGAAAGATAATAGGGCGCTTCTGTTCAAAGAATCGGACAGTCATTACCTCAGATAATCCACCTATAATAAAGTCTTGAGAAATTAAGCGTCAAATTCAATCGGTTGACTTTGATGATGGATTATCAATTCTATTCAGTGCGCGAGTGATGGTTTTTTCCATAAAAAACCGACAGAAATACATGTCTTTATTGTTTACTTTTCAAATACTCTTTAGTGTAAATAAAATTAGAAAATTTAAGAAAGGCATCAGAGAAGGAATATGCGTACTTCTCATCATTTAATAATAAATCTCTCTTTTCCTATATATTGGATAATGAGAAGTACATCTTTCCTTTTTCCTCTTTCCCGTACTTAAATATTATAATTTTATTTACAATTGTGCTCCCTTAATAAATTCTGTTTTATGAGAGAATAATCTCTGCATATTTTATGCTCTATATTTGATAGTAAAATTATTTTAACATGGTATATACGATATATATATATATATATATACATACAGCAATAATTATAATAATTAGGCATTCGTTTATAATGCGTTTATCCTACTTTTCAAAAGATATTTATGACAAAAATAAAGATTATTCTTTCATAGAACAGAACTCGCCGCCAAATAATAACTTTGCAATTTTTATCGTGAAATTTATATATTATAATATCCGGGAGACATTGAATAAAAATGCAGATATTAAATTTTATATTACATTATTATCTTATCTGTAATATACATTTGCTACGTGAAAATATTGAATTCTTGTCATCTTCTTTATTATGGGAAAAGATTAGTAGAATAGAATTATAACCAATTTATTTGATATAGTGTATATTATACATAATATAAAACAAAAGCGTTGTTGCGGCCGTTATGTACAAAGAGCCATTTGTAACTAGTATTTAATTTACAAATGAATATAATAAAAAATATGATATAATCACAACGAATTTATCGTTCTGTGTCACGAAGTTTTTCAATGCAGATAATTGGACATAATATGCAAGTCATGCATTTAACATAATCCGTTAATAAACATTTAACATAAATAAATTTGTTTCCATAAATATACTTCTTGTATATGTTATAAAAATGAACCATACTAGAATATCTCGAAGATTTTTCCAGCTACCCAATTTTGTAGTTTTTAAAGTATAAATATTCACTGAAATTTTCTAATCAAAATTAATGAGCTGTTTTATTTGGAATGTTATGGAATGATATATAGAACCTTCACAGTATTGATTTGCTTTTCAATTAGAAACGAAAATCTCAAATTACATATGTGTCATTAGTAATCCCACAAAACTGTGAAAGCTTTAAGGAAAAGTTACCGAGTTGTCTTTAGCCAGTCGTTTCTCTTCAAGCACATACGAAGGCTATTATTCGGTAACTAGAAAATATTAATTTTGTATCAAATGTGATAAGATAGCAAGAATCACGATTATTTGCCATGACTATCGAGTATTTCATCTATAGTTATTGTATATATACGTACAATATTACACTAAAACAGATTACATAGGGATTTATATTAATAAGTGAATATTAATCGCTAGAAGAATGCCTCTTGGGAGAAATGCAAATTCAAAATATGCATTATCTTGAAATGCCTGGGGTACATATAGAATATTTTAATCAACGTAAAATATTTTTCTAATCATTTTCACATTGATATTTCATTGTTGAATCAGCATGTGTCACTCGTGCAAATTCATTTGTGTTCTTGTGTAAAACATTCACACTTAGGAGAAAAATTGTTATAAGAGCAACGATACGCTCAATCTTTCGCGACTAGATTATGACTAAAGTGAGATCTTTTTTCCAAAATAAAAAAATATATCCATAAAAAGCAAAAGTTCTTATAAACAGAAATTTATCAAATCCTATTTTTGTTTCACAGTATGACAAAATGTGCAATAATAATTAGGCCATCAATTTACATAGCTTAATACGGCAAGAATGCTATATAATATATGTTACTATTAATGACACGATCGGTATTTGTGAAAAAAATATGTTTCAACAATATGCACATTTATATTGATAAAATGTGAACATTTATATAAGACTATATATTCAAAGTAGATAATTTTTCTCAAGATGACACTGTATTGCATTGCCTAATAATATAAGGAATTTTGAATTATCTCATATTACTTTCTCCATTAGGACAATCACATGCACATACATACAATACACACACACACACACACACACACACACACACACACACACACACACACATACATACATACACAAATTTTTAATTATATTTCTAGATGATTAGTAAATCAGCTACCAATGCAGTTGCCATTTTAGGAGGCAAATCTAGCTAGACACAGGAAATATGCATAATCATACATATATCAGTATATCCAAAGATGTACCACACAAAACTTTTATCTATGAATCTGTTGAGCAATTTGGAATTCAATTTTTTGTCAAAAATTGGCGGCAATTAAACAAATTATTTGCAAAGAAAATGCGCAAGATCTTTATAAAATTTTAATCATCATGATAGTTAATAACAGAAATTGAAAAAATACAACAAAATGAGATATATTAGCATATTATATCGTTAGGAAAAAAAATCGATTCCAAATTCATCAAACATTATATATACGTTTGAAATATTATCACATAATAATATATATTGCACAGTAAATTTAGAATAATTGTTCCAGAAGAATTAATACACTATCTTCTAATGGCAAATTCTTGACATCATGCAAAATTGTTAATATTCGAAAATTGATCTGAGCATTTAAAAGCACTAACTTTGAGCAATCTTGGGCTAGCTTTAATGCTTTCCATTTAGAACTTTTATTAGGTATTTAAAACTATTTTAGTATTAGAATTTTTATTTCCAAATGTCTTCAAGAATTTGTTATTAATAAGTAGTGTACCAACTCTGAAACACTGTATGTAGGATAAAATCATCAAAAACAAATAACAATCAAGTTCCTCAACGTAAATATGATGTACACACAAAAATAAAAATGCCTTAACATAAATTTATATACATCTCGGAACATTGGATTTTCTTTATACATACTCCGCCATCTAAAGTCACATATTAAGGCATTCCTGTCCCCAAGTGTATATATGTGAAAAGGAATGTCTATGAAATATTCTCACGTTGATCACTTCATTTAATTACTGTCTCTAATTTATAATGTAATAAACGAGATAAAAACAAGAAATTTACACATTATTTCTGTTAAGATTTATGTTAAGAAAATGATCTAATGGATCTAAAAAAAATTGCATTACAATGTGTAACAAATAATCACCGAAAACAGTTATATATTTTTGATGTATCTGGTCATTTAATATTTTATTTTTATGTACTAACGTGCAATTAGCTAAATAATTCTCGATCAAAAAGGCACTATAAAGGCAACAAAAAGGTACTATAAAGGCAACAAAAGCACAATTTACTACAAAATGTCAAAAATAAAATTGATCTATCAATTCATTCATCATCAAAAAGATGACATACATCTTCCGTAATCGATGGATAATTTCGGATAGTCCGATTTTTATCCTTACGATTGCTCCTTCTCTTCTTTACTACTGCCACCAGCTGCTGCTTCTGATAGGACATCTGGATCTGTACAAACTATCAAGATATTCACATAATCGCTTAATTAGTATTAATTAACTATTGATATTCACCTGGAGAAGGTGAGCCTTTTATTCTGCAAGTATTATAACTACCACAGTTTAAGCACTTCAACCCAACAATATGAAACTTTACTGTTGATTCCTGAAAGATATGTTGCCGTTAAGATCTTTTTTCATCATTTAAACATATTTGAGATACATGTTTGAAACAGTAGATTCAAACCTCGTGGCAATCTTTGCATAAAATATCGGCTTTATAATCTTTGTATTCCTCCGGCATTGGTGTCAGCGATACTTCTGCATCTAAATATTTCCATAAATCTGTCATGTCTAAAAGCGACACTTGACATGTCGGGCAAGCATAGTGTCCCGACTGTAACAATTCCTTGAAACATGTACGATGTAGCAAGTGTCCGCAACCAGGAATGTGACATGGCGTGCGACTCGTATGAATATCTTCGAGGCACACAGGACAATTGGAATGTGAGACATTCTCTATGCACTGTAAAATTTATTCAATGTTTATATAATATAAAAAATTATGTTATTTATATGCAAATATTTTGTGCTATCATATATCCTTACCGTATGTCCGTTTTGTAATTGAACTGGCAAACACATGTTGCACTTTGCACAGTGGAAGAACTTGTCACGGCCACCGACTCTACATATACCACAACCATCACAATGGTATTGATTTTTATCCTCGTCATCAAAAAGATTACATTCGAGGCATGTATATTTTCCAAATTGACAGTGGCAATTTTGACAAGTGGCTTGAACAGGTTGACGAGTATCACAGAGAACACATATTAATTCTGTGACTTCTTTTCTATTCACTGTGTGTGCCTCCTGCTCATCGTGACAAAACCGGCATGTGTATACTTTATTGCAGCAAGGAGTCTAAAAAAATATTAAAAAGAAATACATATAAAGTGTACATTATTATTATATTTATATTATATTTATATTATTTACAATTAATATTTAAGAATAAGATTCTCGAAACTAAATCTATTAATAGTTTAAGATACAAAAATAAAAAGACATAAAAAGTTGCATATGTGACAATTACGATATTTAATATTACAACATCGCTTTCCAAAAAGATGTAATATAATTCCTTAATTATAATATTTATGCTAAATTAATCTATTAAAGATCCTATAAATAAACATCCAATTATATGAATTGAATAAATGTGTCACAATTATTATACAAAATAATGGGACATTTTTATATATACATTTTATTTACGTACCACAAACTTGGACTTTCGCTTATAATGCTCGCAGCCATAATCATCCTCCGGAGAGACCAGCTTCTCGCGCGAAGTAGACGCGCCATACACAGACCACAAGCTGTCATCGTTCACAATATGTTTCTTGGTGCCGGAGTTCTCATCGCTGCTGCTGGAGGTGGACTTCTTGGTACCGCGACTCGGTCCGTCCTCGTCCTGGGTGGATTTGTCGATGCTGCAATTGGAAGCCTCGTCGTCGCAATCCTCGGCGGGTTTCTCGGTATCGCAACTCCGATCCTCGTCGTCGCTGTTCTCGTGGACGATAGCGTCGTGCGTCTTGCTCTCATCGTCGTTCTGCATAATTCTGATTTTGCTCGATTATTTATTTCTCATCGACCCAAGATGCGGCCTTTTTACCGATTAGCACCAGCGATGGTGCATCCTGCGCTTCTAGAGTGACGCGTCGTCGTCGTCGTCGTCGTCGAGAGCTGAACGGAATCAAGAGTTCAAAAAATGTCGAATAATCGTAAACGTTAATGAAAATCAATTACAGCTCCAGCTCGTGAGAGATTCTTGAAAAACGGGGTCGTTTCCGTCGTTGATTCGTGTCACAAGGAAATTTAGCCTCGCGATCGCATATAAACGTATCTATAAATACAGGATCGTACTTAATTACAACATCTCGCGAAACGACGATGTCGGAACGTGATCACGATTCTTCATAGATGCGCGCATGATATAATAATATAAAGATATACCAGTCCCTGATGTATGCGCAGTCGTGTCAAACAATGGCCAATCAAAAATGTTAGAATCTAATATAACTGCAAAAAATAAAATAAAACCAGAGATAGAACTAATTAATCATTTAAAAAATATTATTAATATCATTATTAATATTTTAATATTATATTAATATTAATATTATATTAATATTATATTAATATTAATATTTATATTATTATTAATATTAAAAATATATTAATAATAATAATAATATTAATAATATTAGAAACCGCGTATCATTGAACTTTAACTCTGTTACTGGCTATATTTATCAGTATATTAATTAATCATTAATAGATTTCATCTGTCAGCAGCCATATTAGATATATTTCCGGATTTGACGTTTCGTGTCTAGACATTCATGCTTCATGATTGTTCGCTTTCACAGATCAGCTGATATCTGTCTATGTATTTTAAATCTCTATGCTCCTACAAATATAGGTTATTATATTTTATTATGTGATTTTATTTCTAATATATCTTTTGAATGTCTACATTTTAAAATGCCTATTAAAATATTCAAACTCTATTAAGTATTATCTACTATATATATCATATTCTTATATCCTTAAATCATTATCTTATAAATAATTTATATTTATATTTTCTATTTTAAATAAGAGATTTATTCTTTTAATATACAAAAAATATATTTTTAAAAATATCTCTATATTTAATATATTTAATCAAGATAGTATCTAATCGCGCAATATATTGTGCTAACATTATATAGACAGTATCTGCATAATATTAAAATGACAATAGTGTTAGGAGGTGGTATATCAGGACTATCAGCAGCGTATTATGCCGCTAATAATGCGAAAAATTCAGCTGTCATTTTATTGGAAGCTTCCAATCACTTGGGTGGATGGATACGGAGCATAAAATCGCCAACTGGAGCAATCTTCGAGCAAGGACCGAGAACCATTAGACCAGTTGGATTAGCTGGAAGAAACACTCTCGACTTGGTAGAGAATCTCCAACTGAGTAACAAATTAATTCATATCGGATCGAGTCATCCCGCGACACGAAATAGATTGATCTATTCGGACGAGACGTTGCATTTATTACCATCTTCATTAAAGGGTGTTTTCAAAACAACTTCACTGTTAGACCGTCCCTTGATAAATTGTCTATGGACCGATTTGACGGCTCCAAGGACATCCAAAGAGGATGAGAGCATCTACGATTTTGTTCAGAGAAGATTAGGACAAGATTTAGCAGATAAGCTCATTAGTCCTATAATCTGTGGAATATGTGCAGGAGATGCACAGAAAATTAGTGTTAATTTTTTGTTTAAGTCTCTATTCGAGGCAGAACAGAAATACGGTTCTATAGTAAAAGGCGTATTGGTGAATCGACTCAAAAATATTTTTTCAAAATCAAAAGATGACACAGGAAAGAAAGATAATGAGTCTACAAATTTACGTCTCACTTTAGCAGATGTAGCGCAAAAGGAGCATTGGGCATTGTGGGGCCTGCAAGGAGGCCTCGAACAATTACCTCAAGCACTAGCTGATAATTTAAGAGAGCGAGGAGTGAAAATACAAACCGAGGCAAAGTGTGAAAAACTGACATTTAAATCAAATTGCGTAGAACTAATAATTAATGGTAATATTCAGGAATGTTCGCGTGTTATTTCGAGTTTGCCCGCGAAGAACCTGGCTGATATAGTGCGGGAGCAACATCCCGCATTGTCCGCAGAATTAGAGGTGATTCCTACTGTGACAGTAGCTGTAGTTAATTTTGAATTCCAGGAAGATGTATTGCCGTTGCAGGCATTTGGCTTTCTTGTGCCACCGAAGGAGAATCTTCCTCTGCTAGGTGTAATCTTCGACTCCTGCGTTTTCCCTCAGAAGTCTTCTACGGTATGTATTTACCTTGAAACAGTTTTATTTCTCCTCAAGAAATTAGTTAACTCCTTATTCGATTCATGCAATCATAGCAATCCAGTCTGTGCACAATTAGTTTTTTCTATAATTTTTATTTTCGCATATACAAAACTGAGAATATTAAATGATATATCATTGTCGTGTCGTTTTTCAATATTTTATATGTATAAAATCTTATGACCATGGTTTTTAGGTACTGACAGTCATGATGGGCGGCGCCTGGTTTGAGAAATTTTTTGGCGCGAATCCATCGGAGGAACACCTGTTAACAACGGCGATTGATCATACAAGAGATATCTTACGTATCGAGGAGGAACCAGTCGCACACAACGTTGCCGTTCTGAAGGACTGTATTCCGCAGCACGTCGTGGGTCATACTCAACGTATAAAACGTATCCACGATTACATTTCCACGCATCACATTCCCCTGGGACTGTGCGGTTCTTCTTACCAAGGTGTGGGACTCAATGACGTTATTCTGTCAGCAAAACAGGCTGTTTGTGACATTGTACGAGAACGGTAAAATTGCTCGAGAAATGTAAAAAGGAACTAGAGCAGCGTATACAAGACGAACAATAAAACTACATGCAAAAACGTTGAACATGCTGAATTCAACAATCATAATTCATACCATCGTAAATCATGCAAAAAAAACAAACACTGCAAATCTATATAAAAATCGGAGACTAAAAGAAAATGCAATTTGCATTGCTGGATGAATTATAATATGAATTATAATTGCAATGATAATTAATATAACAATATATAAAGCTGCTAATAATTATATTTTATATAAACATACAAAACGACATATGGAAATGGAGTGGCAAAATGTATTTAGTATTAAATGTAAAATATAATTAACATTCGTGCAAAATATATATACATATATATGTTACTTTATTAAAATTATTAATACATATAAATAAAGAATATAGATAGAAATATCTACTAAGAGCTAAACAATTTTTCTTTTAGTCATACATAAAACAATAACTTTCTACAAATGTCGCATTATGTAATATTTTTATTAAATAATATATTTAGTAGAAATGCAAGATTAAATATATTAAACTTAATATTTTATTATTTTATTAAAAATGTATTCTAATTTGTGCCTTTTGCTATATTTAAAAACATAAAAAGATTTTTGTCAAATATCCATAACAAAATAAAATTTTTACTTGCAAGCATATTATTGCAGAGTGCAACATTTATCCAGCAATAAATTTAACTAATTAAAAATATCTTAATCAAGACATGTATGCATATAAATTATGTACATCAAACAAACTATATTAATACTACTTGCAAGTTGATCATGCTGATTTAGAAAAAAATTATTTAAGTATATAAATATAATTCAAGTAGTTTTAAGTTTCTAAACGTTTTACATTCAATGATAGATGTAACATCACAATTGTCTAGTCTTTGACAGTACCTGCATATTTGACCTCGTCAAAAGCTTTTCTTGCTTTTTTAAGTTCTTCGTTCATAGTTAGAAGATCCTTTACTCTGGCATATTTTCTGGAGTCTTTCCTCACTGTAAAAACAAATAAATTAATATATTATAAAACAATATAATATATTACAATCAATTATTTATTATAAAATTATTCAACTTATTTTTTTCCTTCAGTTCTCACTCTTATTTTAATGCTTAATATTGATTGTTATCTTGTATTTACTTTCACATTTTTTAATTATGTGGGAAATATGACTTGTGAGAAGATCAGTACAAGAAGAAAATATTACTTTATGAATATTTAACTTACAATACTATATTTTATTATGCAGACATTTGATTAGCCATACTTATATATATATATAAATTTGAGTATATAAAATAGAAAATTTCAAATACTTTACATATTTATTTAGTTATTTATATTTTTTAAGTTTGTATATGTATCCTAACGAGTGTACCTAAAAATACAATATCTTCCACTTGAACTCGTCCAGTGCGTCCTATTTCCATGGCTCGGTGTGTCATCTCTGTTATGAACTCTATAACTAAATCCTCCAATAAATCCACACTCTCAGTATAAGGATTTTGATCATCGCCAAAGCCATACATCATGCAGCGCAGTTCTTTGGAGAAGAGACGTTTCCTTCCACCAGGTAAAGTACCTCCAATAGGAATTTCCGTCTCTTCATCTTCAAACTATCAAAATAGGCACTCATGTTAAAACATGAAAAATGTAATAGTAATTATAAAATTATACAATAATTATTTATAACATTTAATGTCTAAGTATATATGTAGCCTATAAATTGTAAAAAATAGAAAATTATTCTGAAAACTTTTTTGCTCAAAGAAATAAATTTAAAAATATACGCAGATACATCCGCGTTCGGCTCTCATAGCCTTTATATTTCTAATGAATTATTTATTAATATATTTATTAATATAGAAAGCTTTACTATAGTACTTTAATACTAATTTAAAAAATTAAAAAGAAATAAATTAACCTAATTATTTATAATATTTTTGTTTAAGTATATACTATTTAATAATTAAAAAGAAGAGACAAAATTATTCTAAGAATTTCTTTTTGCTTAGAGATAACTAAAAAAAAATAAAATTTAAGAAGAAAAGTTAAAAAAAAATAAATCTAACCTGTTCGTACGGTTCTTCAGCAGACATTACTTTTTATACTAGTCTAGGTAGGTTAAATTTCTTCAATTAGTCGTCTCTATAGCAAACCCCAGGTCAAATTCGTCACACACTGTTAATTTTAATTTTTAATGATAATAATATATATTAAATATATCAGAAAGAAACAAGAGAGCGGAAATTTTTCATTTTTCAACCTTGGTTCTTAGCTGAATATTTCGGACATGAACCATTTTGCGGAATCGAATTTACCATGCTTTTTCCCGAGTGTCACGACGTAGTTTATGTCTACATTGTCAAGGGGCGCACTAGTACACGCGGCCGCTGAAAACGGTTCAAAACTTTAGATTGCTTTAGATCAGTCTTCCTACATGTAGAAGATAATTGAGAGAAAGATTAAAATTTGGTTAAATTTGGTCCAAACAAAGTTTATTTAAAACTTATATTTTTCTCATTACCAAATTTATAAGATGGAGGAGATAGAAAGTTTAATAAAGATTATGCAGGAAAAAAGACGGATTAACCAATGTGAATTGGAACGTCTTGATACACCATCCAACGAACATAAGGAATTAATGAAAGAATTACAAGACTTGAAAAGTATATATATTTCTTTATCATTGTTAACTTTTAATTAGAAATAATTAAAAAAAATTTCTACATATGTACACACACATAAGGTTATTATGATTACATTGTAAATATTGTTTACAGGAGAAAGAGATTTGTGTAAAGAAAAAATTATAAAACATCTTGGTATAATTATGGGACATAGGCACTCTATATATAAATTTTCACAATCATCAAAGGATATTTCGGGCCTGCCTGTTCCACATGATTATGCACAGTATATAGAAAGAATTATTTTTCCTTTTAAATTGGTAAATAAACTTTGTTAAACTTTGATACTGATTGCAGAGACATGACAAGAATGTTTACTGATGTGATAGAATTCTTGAATAATATAGGAGATACTTATAAAGCATTCACTGATGTTAAAAAAAATGATGTGGATCTTTCGCAGCTGACTTGTAATGTGGTAAATGTCAGAAAATTCATAAAATAACTAAAAGGAAATACGTCCAGATTAATATATGTATATTTTTTTAGAAAACATGTGTCCAAACTGTAGAAAATGAGTTATATCAAGTAAAACATAATGTTGTACAATTAGAAACGTTGAAGGAGAATGTAGCGATACTTCAACAATGCATTACAGACATTAATGATGCTATAGAGGGTAATGTCTAATTTTTCAACATTTAATCAAAGTTTTGCTCTGTATTTCAAATATAATAATATATAATTTTGTTTAATAATAAAAAATGTGTTAATTTAAAAAGTATAGTAATTTGAGATATAACAAAAATAACAAAAGATTATCATTTTCAGATGAAAGTACTTCAACAATCAGTGGTGAGTCAACAGACAGTGGAACAACTATTAAGTAATATATTAATGTTTATTGTCTGTTATTTTAAATACAAAAAATATCAAACAGATAGTTTTTATATGAGAGATATGAGATATTTATTAAGTTTTATATTAAAATTTGATGGCAGTCATATATATTGAATATCGTTCAGTTGATCATCTAGATTTAACTTCAACATTACCAATTGAGGATCTACAACTTCCTGAAAAAAAAATATATATATATATATTTTTGTAAAATATTATTAAACTCTAATAAAATTTATTTAAGCATCATTTAGTGATTATTTTTCTCTTACTGTAAAATGAGTAGTAAATTGAAACGCATGTTGTGGATTAGATAATGTTCGCCTATTTGCACTATATGGAATATTTTTTTTCGATTTCTCCAGTTGGGTAGTTGTCAAAGCCATTTTTTCACTAAAAAATGTAAACAGATTACATTTCATTATATTTCGTAACATATTCTATAAAATTGCTTTATTGTTTTGCACATTTACCTTGTTGAATTGAGTTTTCGAAATACATCATTAAAATTAGAGTCAAATTTAGTTTTGCTTTCATTTTCAATATTACGAGCTTCTTTAAGTGCTTTGATGGCTTCCTCATTTTTCGCAAATGCTACCTAAGAAATCATTCTTTGAGTATAATTCTTTAACTCTAATGTGTTATATATAACATTATATATTTTATAATTTTTTAAATTACTTGTGTAAAATTTTCGATATCTTTGGCGCGTGCTAACAGCTGAAATTCTTTTTCTTGTAATGCCTGCTCTTGAGCTTCGAGATATTTCATTTTTTCTTGCCATTTTAATCGTTCTTGATTCGCGAATATAGTAGCGTCTTGAGCAGTTTTTATAGCAACAGCTGACTGAAAAAGAAACAATTTTAAAAAATATATTTACATTACACATCCGGATCTGTATTTTTTAAACTGACCTCTATCTTTGTAATATTATCCGAATTAGTTTTTATTGTCTTTAAAACTTCATATTGCATCTTTTTAGCTGCAATAGCTTCTTTCTCTTTTGTTAAAATCTTCAGTTCTTTTTCTTGCTCATTTAACCAAGATTCTTTTAAAGTCTTAAAATATTGTATACATATATACAGAGATAAAATTTTTAAATAATGTAATTTCTTTCTCTATATATAATATTATTTTTAAATATTAAATATACCAATTAATTACCTGTAAATGATTATATTCCCATTGTACTTTTTCTTCAAACAATTCTCTTTCATGCGAGAGAGATTGTTCTCTTTTCTTTAACGTTTCCAATGCTTCAGTGAGCATAGTGCTTTTCTTTTCTAATTCAAGCATCAATTGTGCAACATGCAAATCTAATTTGTCCGCTACTTTCATCATTTTGTCACGTTCTTCCATCTGTAACTCTTGTTGCTTCTTTATCTCTACATTTCGTACTGCAACAACATTATATAAATAAATAAGATATTAAATATAATTATATTACATGTAATATATTATTAATAAATAAAATATTAAATATACTATATTAAAATTAGACTATTATATAAAGTAAGTAAAAACTGTGTACTATTTACAACTACTTATTTAAATGCATCTTAAAAATTGTTTTATATAACATACTTTGCATGTCTTCCTCTTGACTTTTTAAATAATATTCTCTTAACTTTATACTTTGGTCTTCTCTATGATCAGTCTTTTCTTGCACATTTTTTATATTCTCTATAATAAAGTCAGCTTTTTGTAACAAATTTTGCATATCAGTCTTGTGGGTTGTTATAGTCGTCATAGCCAAATTCTCCACCTCTCTCATTTTCAATATACTCTCTATTGTATCAAAATGTTCTTTCTGCAGCAGTCTTGTATTTTCAGAATGACGTTTGTAAATTTCTTCTATAAATTGCGCATGCTCCTTCTAAATTAAATAATAATTAAAAGCAGCAGGTCTTTAGTTATAATTAATAATATAATTTTAATGCGTAAAAAAGTGTTATACCTTTAAATTCTGTATTTCTTCTTTGTAAAATGTTTCAATTTGCATTTTTTCATTTTTTAACTTTTCTATTTTTGCTTCATAATCTGTTTCTAAACATTCAAGTTCCTGTTGCATTCTCTTTTCCAATGTATCTGTTCTTTCTTGCAAGAATCCTATTTGTCGTCTATAGAAAAATTATATGAATATATAGTAAAGTATATATCAAAATAATTTTTTAACAATAAAAATTTTATATATCATTAATTGTTAAATAATAGTTTTACTTACTTATATGATTCATCTAAAATCATTATCTCATTTTCATATTTTTCGTTTAAGCTATGTATTGCTACTGTCAGATGAGACTTTTCTAACTCTAATTTATAAATCATATTATCGTAACTCGCATCTTTGCGAGTTAAATTACTATATGGATTTTCCGAATTTTTATTTGCATCAAGAGGAACATCTACTACGTTAAGCTGCACACAGCATAAAATTATATATAAATGCATATAATAATTATATTATATATAAATTACTTTACAGAAACTAATAAACCACAAGTTTCATTTTTACAAAAAAAAAAAAAAAGAATTTTATATCTTACTTTATGATAATTTTCTTCAATTTTGTTTTTCATATTCGTTCATTTCGAGTTTTTGATTATCCAATAATTTTGTCACTTTTTTTTCTCATGTGGCAGTAATTCAGCTACTCTTGTTTCATCTTCTTGAACTATCTTATCAGAGCTATTTCTTCTATGTCTACTGAATAATTCTTCAGTAGGCATTATTTTATCTTGAACATAATCACTATTTTTATCTTCTGTTATCTTCTTAGGTTCCAACCAATCTGGTAAATTTTGTTTAGTTTCAGGTTTCTGTCTACTTGAGTCTGCAGATACTGTACATCTTTCTTCCTTTAAAATTAGAAAAAATGAAGAATAAATATAAAGAAAAAGAAATTAAATATTCATAATTATTTAAACATGTATACACATATTGAGTTTATATTTACAGTTTTTTCAGTTTGATTTGACATTGTACTTAGAGTGAATAATCCTAAAGGATCATTAATTATCTCTGAAGTTCTTTTGCCTCTACGAGGCTCTCTGGTTCCAGCTGTTGGAGCATAAGTAGAATGCTGAGATTGTATCTTAGATTCAGTTGCATGTTGTGTGATTCCTTGTTCAATCTGTACAGATTTTTTACTAGCATTCGATTCTTTTGACGGTGACATGTGCAATGTATCTCCAAATAAATCTTGCATCAGTGACATTTTTCTAGCTTTATCACTTGTCATTTTTGACTTGTCAATTCCTGTAGTGCTTAATACAGATGTCAAATTCTCCTTTTCATTCGATAATGATTCATTGGAAACCTTTTTATTGAACAAGTCATCTATTATACTCTTATCTCTTATTGGATTCTTTTGGCCTGATGAAAAGTTCTTATCAGCTAGCAAATCATCTAACATATCATCCTCATCTATAAAGTAAAAAAAATTAATTGAAAAATATATTTTATTAAATACATGTAAATAAGTATCATTTTTTAAAATAAGATGATGTATTAATTAATAAGAAAAAACCTGCAAATGTAATTTTTTTTTCTGTAGATGGATTTTTCTTAAATGTACTAAATAGTTTATCATCTAAATTATCCATATCCTCCACCATTTCTACCATTTTCGTCGTATTCACACGTGATTATTTTAGTGAGTCAAAATATTCACGTCAAATTATTTTATAATCGCTTATTGCTTGTAGTGAATATTTATAATAAAACACAGTATATACATTATTACTTAAATAAAAATTAAGACATAATTAATATACATCTATACCGTAGCCGACAGCTCATTTGCAATTATTGATTGCATTTGTATGCTACTGTTTATGCCAGGTATTGACTAGGATACACGTTTGTTTACATATAAGAAACATGGAACGCGAGGTTTTTGACAGATCCACTTTTAGCCAGATTTGTGGCAAGGAAGGGGAGTACAAATTAATTTCATTCTTCATTTCATGATATGTTTTAAATGGAAAATGTGCGTAAATGACACATAATGAAGCATCAACTTCTCATCTTTTCTTATGTCAAAACTCTCCGAGATTGTCGCCAATAGTCGCCATGATGGATTTCGCGGCTCTCGTCACATGACAGATATTAGTTCGCTCCTTCGCCGTGTGACGGCGCTAACCGCAGTTGTCAGTTTGCCATCTGGCGTCCAGGTGCGAAAACGATCGTTATTCCGATTAAAACCTGCGATTTGCTCCGATTCACGGAATTCGCCGCGGATGTACGAACTGGATGCTGTCTGGTGCGGTCGCGCGACTCCCGGGTGATCCTGCGTGATCCTGAAGGAGAGGAGAATGTAGCTGATCCTTTCGCGGAGACTTTCAGCAATTTGTCAAGCAATATAGCGATACGAAAAGGCGGGGTGGGCGGATCGCGACGCTCTCTCTCTCTCTCTTTCTCGTTGACAGGTCGATGATCAACAATCACGCGAGCTCGAAGGGTGAAGGGCCAAGATGTTGAGATTCCTGTCGCGGCGAAGGGCGCGAAGCGTCCAGACAGCTTCGTCGCAGATCAAGAATCAGAGGTTGCCCAGCAACAAGAATGTCGTGCAATGCAGGGTGGTGCTGTTGGATGGCACGGATTTGCCTATAGAGTTATCAGTAAGTTTTTTTGTTAGGAAATGACAGATTGGCAGCGTGCTCGATGAGCCATAGCGGTGTAATTATTTTCGTATATTTTATAGATATAATATAAATTCTTTTCTCTGTACTCTGCGATGGAGTAGATAGAATTTATTTTAACTGTCAGTAATTAGCAATGGAAATATTAATTGTTTTTATTTTATAATATGTGATTCTATATTTTTCTCTTATATTTGATACTGCATTTTCTAATTTGACATTTTAATTCTATTTAAAATCAAATTATTTCATTCTTATGCAAATTTTATAATATATATATATTGTAATACTATATAATCATATAATTTTGTTGATTTCTTTTGCAGAAAAAGGCCTTGGCTAGTGACTTATACGAACAAGTATTTTATAGTTTAGACTTAATAGAAAAAGATTATTTTGGACTGCAATATACAGATAGTAATAATGTTCAACATTGGTTGGATCCAACGAAACCTATTAAAAAGCAAGTCAAAATTGGACCGCCATACACACTTAGATTAAAAGTAAAATTTTATTCTTCGGAGCCCAACACTCTGCGTGAAGAATTAACGCGGTATCAATTCTTTTTGCAATTGAAGCAAGATATTTTGGAAGGCAAGCTTCAGTGTCCTCATCAGGTTACGGTTCAGTTAGCTGCTCTGGCTCTCCAATGTAAGTACTCAAATAAAATTTTTTATTAAAATTAAGCTATGATCCTCATCAGAGTGATTATTGATCATTTAACAAATGATTTATCGCGAGTATTAAAAGATGAAACTTTTATTCCAGCTGAACTAGGAGATTACGATTCCACTATGCATACTGCTGCAACTGTCTCGGAATTCCGTTTTGTGCCAAATCAAACGGAGCAGATGGAATTAGAGATACTGGAGGAATATACCAAGTGTTCTGGCCTCACTCCGGCACAAGCAGAATCCACCTATCTTAGCAAAGCCAAATGGCTGGATATGTACGGCGTCGACATGCACACCGTCCTCGGGAAGGACGCTTGCGAGTACTCTTTGGGATTAACTCCAACTGGGATTCTGGTTTTTGAAGGCACGCAGAAGATAGGGCTCTTCTTCTGGCCCAAGATCGGACGGTTGGACTTCAAGAAGAAGAAATTGACGCTGGTGGTCGTGGAGGAGGACGACGAGGGCAGAGGCGAGCAGGAGCACACCTTTGTGTTTAGACTGGTGAACGAGAAAGCTTGCAAACATTTATGGAAATGCGCGGTGGAGCATCACGCTTTCTTCCGTCTGCGCGCGCCGGTCAAGGGCGCCAGCGGCCGTCAGAACTTCTTCCGCATGGGTTCGCGCTTCCGTTACAGCGGCAAGACAGAGTTTCAGACGACGCAGCTGAATAGGGCGCGTCGCACTGTCCAGTTCGAGCGACGACCGAGTCAAAGGTACGCGCGACGACAAAGTCACGTCCTTCGCGAGCGACAGCGTCAACAGCAACAAGTGGAACCACCACAACCATCTCCACCTCCAGGTGAGGCACAGCAAAATGTATTTTTTTACATGTAGCTCTTGCTCTTTAAAATCTAAAATAATTCTCTCTTGACAAAAATAGAGATATCAAGCTTTTTTGATTAAAAAGAAATTTTGTGATAAGTTGCAATTTATTTTTCAGCTGAGGAAGAGCCCTTGCAGCGTCAACCGAGTCGATCCAGTACAAAATCCAGTACGGACTCGTCAAGTGTTCAGGGTACGTCATCGCCCTTGGTAGATTCTTTGCTGAAATCTCTTGCCAAGGATCAACAGCCTCTGGAAGCCAGGAACCAGACGACGGTTGTCAGCAGCGAGAAAGAATCGGAGCCTATGAAGACCAGCTTAACGGTTGAAACTATCAGTAATCAAGTGCAGCTAGTGCCTAACAATCAAGTGGGCGGAACGTTAACATTGCCTCCTCGAACGCCCATTCCGCCGGAATCTTTAAAGTGCAACATACTGAAGGCAACTCTCGAGCAAAACAAGAATTCGAATTTGGTCTCTATCACGACCGCAGACGGACCGGGAGCGATCGCGAAGAAGAATCAACATTCTGATGCGGCGGCGACCATCGTCTCCGTAGTGAGTTTCGTTAACTGCTATCGCTCTTTTATAGATTCTTGTCTTGCTTTATTTTCATCATTATGCATCTTATATATATGTCTAATTATCATATATCCATTATATTTTTTTATATCTTTTTAAGTTGTATATTTTTTTTATATACATATACTTGTATTATTCAATGTTTTATAAAATTCTCAGAGTTAGAGTAGCTTATTAAGTGATAATTTTATTATTCTGTTATCGTTTGCATTTACACATTTATTCCGTTTGCTTCCGCCAGCTAGCTGCCAGTCATAACATGTACTTGCTTTCTTGCTTTTTTCGTCAAATAGGGCGGTGATAAGCTGACTCTCTCAGTGAGCGGCACGACAACAGCGGTGAATCCTTCTACGGACGATGCTGTGACCGTAACGCATTTCTCGCTGGATAGCTGGGGACAGATCGAACAGAAGACGACACCGTTAAGTCCGAAAGTGTCGAATCAGTCGCAGAATCCTTTCAATCCGTTCACCAACGACACTAGCAACGACGCATCTAGCACGCAGGAAGTAACTTCCGAGGAGGAAGCGAAACCGGAGGATGATAAGAAGAAGAATACGAATCCGTTCATAGATTCGAATCCGTTCTTAGGCATACTCAATCCCTTCAAAGATTTACAGCCGGTCACGACAACGGAGAAGAAGGTCGAGACGGTGGATGCGGAAAAAATCGGAGCACGTGTCGTTAAAACCGAGGAGATACAGACGACTACTACGACACTCACACACAAGGTCAGTTGAAGCATTTTATGTCAAGTGAGCCACCTTTATTACAAGAAGATTGAGATTTTTTAAAAATTTTAACAACTAAATTTTATCCTTAACATCCCTACATTAAAATCTAAAAGTCATAGAATGTTATCTTTTATGATTAAAAAATGGCACTTTGTTCTATCTAGATATGTCAAATATATGTTTAATTTTATATAAAGGGTTTGGTATTTTGCACGCATAAATTGCATATAATTTAAAGAGTTTTTGGTTGAAATTCAAGCTCAGATTTTCAAAATGGCAGATTAATTTTGTGCGATTTTAGTTTTATATAGTTAAGCACACATTTGCTATCGAGATAGAATAGATAAGGTGTCATTTTTAAATCGTAAAAGATAACATTCTGCAATTTTTAGATTTTAATCTAGAGAAGTTAAGGATAAAATTTACCTGTTAGAAATGAAAAAGGTCACTTTTTGTAATAATAAAAGTGACCCACTTAACATAGAATGCTCCAGTTATATCTCTTATGCTTGCAAGCCAGCTATAGCGTCCCATTTGTTACATAAGTATTTCGATTTCACCAAGAAGACTTACTCTTAAAACAAATCTAAAAGACTTTTGCGTTTTAATTGTGGAAGAAAAACAAGAACATTATTATTATTATTATTATTATTATTATTATTATTATTCTAGGCAGTAAATTAGACTTATTGGTGAAAGTATGTAATGAGAAGTTGCTTTGTCTCCCACATGTGAAAGTCGTCTTTGTGCGTGCGAAGTATTTAAATATATATTATAATTTATTGAAATATACACACACATTAAAGTTCCATCATCACTTTAACTACATGAAATCACATTACATGAATTATATTACATGAAATTGGACAATGGTAGCGTGTATTAGTAGTACTAGTGTTGTCTGATAATAATGTTTTTTAATACGCTAGAAAAATCATCTGCATTAATAGGAGAATATATTTTGCAAAGAAGTAGTGACAGTAATACAGCAGTAAATGTCTTTTAATAGTCCGAAAAATCGTCTGAGTTAATAGGAGAATATATTTTGCGAAGAGGTAGTAGATAACAAAATATGTATTTTAATGTTTGAAAAATCATCTGAATTAACAGGTGAATATATTTTGCAAGGAGATCGTTATTAGGAAAATATATTATCCTGTTAACTCAAGACGATTTTTCGGACTATTAAAAGACATTTATTACTGCACTACCTCTTCGCAAAATATATTCTTCTATTAATTCAAACGATTTCTCGAGTATTAAAAGATTTATACAAGAAATATAATCTGTTTTAGATTAAATAATGCTAACTAATTTTTACAAGTTAAATGATACTTTTAAATAAAAAATTTACAATCTTAAATTGAAAATGACATGAATATATTTATCTCAATAAATTTTACATTTTATATAATTATATAATATATATTATAAATATATATATTATGTAATTATAATTTTATACATTGACAGAAATATTTAAACATTATAAAGAAATAAATCGTACGCTTTGTAATTCTAGTATTATAAAATAATTATATATATATATTTTTAATTCTAAATTATAATAATTTTAATGTTACAGTTTTAATAATAATAAAATAATTAAAAAATTAATTTTGATATGAGAGAATTTTGTATATTGAAAGAAATCTTTTTTTCTAATAGGATGAAAGTCAAGCGGCATCAGACATTAGTCCCTGGTTGGTAGCGGATCCTTCGCAGAGTCCAACACCTGATCAAACACCAACTAAGCATACAGTCGTCACGAGAAAGACGGTAATTACCACACAGTTATAAAATATTTATTAAGTACAAAGAAAATATGTTGATATACAACGCGCGAGAAAATATTATATTATTCCAACGTGTACATTTACTTTGATCTTCCTCAAACTGCCTGCATCACTTTTACACGATGCGCTTATAGAATGCATAATGTTAGTGACATGACGATTAAAATTGGACACATACACACACACACAAATGAACTACTTATTTAAAAAAATACTTTTCATGTGAAAAGATCCTAAGTTGTACTTAAATATGTAAGAGCAGCGTACCATTGGGAAGGCATTGCTTAAGTCATTATTATAAATTTGTGTCGGTTAATGAGTCATTTTATGACGGTCACATAAGGATTTGCGTAATGGAGTAAATTTCTATATGTATAGCACCACAAACATTCCTTAATTCTACAGTGCGTATTAAGCTATAACATCTTAAGCTTATTGCGTTGATAAAATAAGTGTCCTTATCGCCCCTGCCAATATATATATTGTAAGTATATAAGCAAGAGGTCTATTCGTTTTAATTACACATGTTTTCTTTTTTGCAATTTTATATTTTTTTCTTTCTCTACTCAATAGATACTCGTTATGCTTTAAATGCAGACAGAGTGTAGTTACAACAAATAGACCTACATATTCCGCGAACATGTATTGCTCATGTTCGAGTATCGAATTCATGCATTTATAAAGTAGCATTTTTGTACTACTAATCATTGTGCCTTAAAATTTAAAGAGAACAAATATGCGATAAAGAAAACCCCGCCTTGTGACTGATTAAAAATATATAAGTATTATATCGTTATATAATAGCATATAAATTATATAAATAGTTTTTATATAAGAAAAGTAAATAGATCTGACTAACATTTTTTAAAAGTTTTACTGGTGAGAAATCATAAATTTTTTTTTATATGATTAATCAGTTCAATCAATAATATCGATTTTATTTTTTAAAGAAACATTTTTGTCGATAATATATTTATATATAATATATTATAATGACAATAAAATCAATAGAATAAAGAATCGGGGGATACGAATCCAGTCTTAGGTAAAGCACAACTCGCCTCAATCTTGCAGCTATAACAATCTATGTTTAATATTTTATGTCTATGAAACTAAAATCGAATTTTTATGTATATAGCAGAGTATATTATATTCTCCTGAGATATATATTTTTTTCTTATTTGTTTCTTTCATATATTCTTCTTTCATGCCATAATTTTGATACGAGTTATGATAGATATATCGCAACACTGTCGTTATTAAATATAAACAGATATGTACAGGATGCTTCAACCTATATGATTATAGCATTCCATTGTTCAGTATGTAACGACGTTGTTACACAGTATTTAATACAAACAATGCATTTAATTACAAGCGGGATCATCGGTATACTTAATTAGCATTTGAATGTTTGTTACGTTATAGAGACAGGAAGTAGTCGATTCATTTTTACATTTTCCGAAAAACTCTAAAACTCTGTATTTAGTATACAGTATTAATATTATTGCAATATATCGTACTTGATTGAATATGTATCTTATTAAATTTTATTTAATGCCAAGAAATGTGAGCGACATATATATATATTATATATATATACATATATAATTTCAAAGCTAATATATCTACATACATTATATATATACATATATATTTACAGTATTATATTGAGTTATCGATACCCTGATGTATTCCGTCCTAAAGTGTCCTATATACTTAACGTTATGTAATTATAATTTTCGCTTTTTAATAAAACAAACAATTATTGATATCTTTTTGCGTTTCTCCTGCGAGTATTAATATATCATCAGTTCTCGATGACAAAAAGGAATATCATCGATGTACAAAAGGAGCGCTAAAATGAATACATCTTGATTAAATGCTTGCGCTGTATTATAATATTTAAATTCTTTGTAAAAAAATTTTGAACCTAGATATAAAGCGATATAGGTAAATCGTCATTCATATAAGTTATTTTTGAGACATTCTACATTTTTATTCAATAGAACTGTATTGGATAAACTTCTATAAATTGTACTAAATATATATATATATACAGTCTAATAGACAATGTATTTATTGGTCGTTTGGATTATCTCTTTTCTTTAAAATATTCTCTTCAGCATTTATTTATTACCTTTTAAGTCACCTATTTGCACTGACATTACAAATTGACGTAAATCGATTATTGGGTTTAGGATATTTGCGCACTATCAGTTGGGAAGAGCTCTTTGTCTCCTTTTTTTAGCACATTTCAGTAGTAAAAAGAAAAATATCGATAAATACTTGAACTCGTAAATGCATCAATATTTACATGGAATGTCGTTTCGGCATCGTAGTCTTAAGACTCGTTTCGCTAAACTAGTAAGGACCATTATTGCACAACAATTTGCGCACAAAGGCATTTTACTCGTCTCGATTCCACTAATAATAAGCGGATGAACACGTTTAATCGCTTTATCTCTAGAAAAAGCTTCTCGCACGCTGTCTATTCGCTATTTACAGATATGATATCTCTCATCTCGATACTTATATCAAAACATAAGCACAAGTATTTATACATATAGGCCTTTCTAAGATAAACGCCAGTCATCCTCAGACTTTGTGTACATCAGTCGAATGTGCACCGCGAATTATTGCATGTCTGAAAATCAAACGGAGATTATCAAACAGGCGTCTCCGGATTCTCCCATCTCGGGGCATCGGTATCCTGACCGCGGGGAGGCGATTGCGGAGCATTCGAGGACTCTCGTATCACCAGACTTGCGGTGTCGGAGTAATAATCCACATCTACGGAACGTTCCCCATCCCGCGGTAAACTCCTGCTGGACGAGGGCGAGCTGCTATTTTCCGCGCTGTGCCTGAAGACGCTGTCAGACTGCGAGTGCGTTGGTGTGGACAGCTCGGATACCAGCGGCGTGGACTCGTCGTCGCTCTCGACACCGGGAGACGACTCCGCTGGCGCAGTACCTATCAGACGGTCCTTCAACTTCGACAGCTTCTCCAGACTGGTAGCGGGTACCGTTATCATTACCTCGTCGCTCAACGTTGGGATCGAACGTCTCTTCCTGGTAGATACGGTAGATGACGTCTTCAAGGGGATGCTGTTCCCCATGTATCTCTCGTCGGTCGATTTGGATCTAAGTGCAGGTTTTGGCGACGACGGCGGCGAGACGAACAGCGAGGATGGTCTGGTGGTGCCGACAGTCTTCTTCGGGGTTTATGCGAACAGGCGGATCTCGTGCTGTATTGGGACGCGATGCTGCGCTGAGAATTCGTACGCTGAAGAAACACCGTGGAGTCGTGGGAGCTGTCGTCGGAGCTGGCCGGTTCGTCGGTGATCGGCGCCCAGCGAAACAGCGGACTGGCTTGAAGCAACACGTAATCCGTGTCGTGAATCGACGTAGCAACGGGTCCTAAAACAGAAATTCGATCATATCTGCTTCATATTGTACAATCGATTAGATCTTAGAACATTTTTTTGAACCTTTTGTATATATGTAGTCATTTACTGCGAGATATTCTAACTTATCTTTGAAAAAGAATGGATGGATGGAATCTTTCGAGAGATTTCATGTAGGAATATATAGAACTATTGATATAAAAAAAATATATTTATTTTAATTCCAATTTAATCCTTTAATTTTAATCTTTAATCTTTGATAGCGCTCTGATTATAATTAAAAATAGAATTCCGACTGAAGGCTTCTTAGATATAAACCGCAAAGAAGGTAATGTCAAAAGTGAGGGGTTTACAAGAAAATTTTATTACCACTTGTTCTTGTAATAACATAATACTGCTCATATAACATAGTACTAATAATCTAACAATAATATTCGTAATGTATTCATAATATAGGAAGTATAATATGAACCGGAATAACGTGGACGCAATATTTTTAATTATCGCCCAAATATAATTATCTTACATATATAATGGTTTTAAAAATATACTATCTATTTGATTACTATTTATCTCACGATTAACACAAATATTTTTCCCAAGAAATATTTGTTCTGTCAATAGTAATAATACATAGTTTATCACAGTCTTTTGTACAGAAATTTTTTCACAGAAGACATCTAGTAATTTGGTAAGAGAAGCTATATTTCTGACATTTTTACTTTTTCCCTCTTATATCATGTACTTACAAATGCAATAAAATATTTTGCATCTTCGATTGGCGAAAGTCTCTCGGAATCGACTGATGCTTTGGTTGTTTGAATTCTTTGCACAATTTTAAAAATTTTCATGTATAATGCAATTTTCTGGTTCTTCCTTGTATGGCACTGATATACATTAACATTAAATTAAACTTATAAAATGAGCATTACATTACGCTAATCCTATGAGCACGCATACAATAATGATTGTATTATCTCTATTAAGTAGCCTTCATTTTGGATTTTTTCGTCGCACGATATGTATGACTATTTGTTTTCTCGCATTGGCACATGAGACCAAAAATAATTCTTATACATATGCTTTCAAAGACGATAGTTTCATCTTTCATATTTGATTATGAAACTGAAAGAAATTACTTGTGTAAATGAAAATGATAGCCTCTTTTTGTTAACTTACAATTAGAAAATCTTATAATATATTTTTATAGCCGTTGTATGATTTTGACTGCCACTATAAATGTACATCTTTACATCTTTTGTCAGTAATACTGTCAGGTAATATATTCTGTCAGAATACGCATATATAAATATAGGTATACAAATAAAGCTGCAAAATAGGATAAAGAGAGTATGCTCCCTTTTTTGTAACATCACAAAAATTGGCAAGATCATTCTCGAATGTAATAATAACGTTGATAGGTCGTTGTGTCTTTCGATGCACAAGTTATACCAAAAAATGCTTTTTTTCTGCCATATCTGACATATGCAACGCGAGCAATTTATTAGGCGAATGTATACATCGTCATTGTGTTCTAATTTCATATTAGTAGTTAGCACTACTCAATGGAGGTATCACTGTTTGGGTCAGACTGCGATGGTTCTTGCACTATGACGACAGGCAGTGTAAGTGGTAGGGAAGTAGGCTCACCTGAAGAAAGTGAGTCTGTCGTTGGTGCCAGTGGTGCAGATGATGGCACATCTAATACATCTTCGCAAGCTTCTTCATTCAAAGTCTGCAATGCTCCACAAATCATTTGCTCCTCTAATGTTACCTGAAATAAATATATGTATTTTAAAGTAGCTTTTAAAAGCATCGCATCTATGTAAACAGATGCTAAAATTATTATAATTCGTGAAATTATGTTACACAAAATAATTTCACGACCAACTCTTACCTGAAACTAACATACCGAGCATGAATGTAAATAAACAAGAGAATTACTATATTAATTTTTTAGAATACTAATTGCAATAATAAAGTTTCATTAATTTATTTATAAACTAATGCATATAAACACATATTGTATAATATAATTGTATCAATATTTTTTTATATCTGTAGCATACCTGTTTTTCCATGATAGATTGTTTATTTTGGTCACGACGGACCGGTCCATCTGTTCTTGATGTTCCTTTCTCTTTTTCTACGTGAGCAGGCATACGTATTGAATTATTTTGCAACGCGTGATCTATAAGAAATAAAATTAAATTATTGAAATCGAAAATCAAAAGAGAAACGAATAGAGAAATAGACGCCGAGGATACCTTTGCGTATAATTTGTTCGGATCCTACAGTAAATCGGACACTTCGAGGACCCTCCTCGTATGTGAAAGACGAGAGTTCCATTTCCCTAAGCGATACAATTACCATACGAAACAGTTCCCAATCCCCAAAGTCATTTTAAACACCTAAAAAAATATATTTGTACGTAAAATTATTGTATGTCAAATTTTCTTTCTTTCTTTGAAGAATATAAAGATACAGGGTCACGAAAAATTACCTTCTTTAGTTCTTGCAAATCGCAATGTAATAAAACACGGCCGTTGATGTTGTTCTCCTTAACGACTTGCTTGTACGTTGGTGTTTGAGTCGAGTTAAGACTATCAATTTTGTCGATTAAGTCGCAGACTCCGTTTACTGATAAGGACGAGAGCTTCAATTCCAGAATTTCAGACTATAAATAAAAATGAAGCAATAAAGCAGCATGTTCTAATAAAAGAAATAAAGTTATAATTAAATTGCAACTAATTGATTACGTGCGTACCGGTAATGTGGTTGTTGCGGAAAGAGGTTTCGGCGCTGGTTCCATGGGTGGCATTTGCATCCAAGTCGGTGGAGTTTGCCATTCGAGGCTTGGCTGATAAGCCCACGATGGTGTCGGCGGGACGGATCCCTGCAAGCTCGATTGTTTGACGAGTCGGTTCGCATGTCGGTTCGTCAACATGCCTCTTTGTGGGGCCCACTGCTCAGCCGGAACACCGTGCCAGACACTAGCCTGTTTATAGAGATTTGCGTCTTCCTCGATGCTTTGTTGCTCCTCCTTTATCTTCTTTTTAATGTAGGGATCCAAGTTGATGGTGAATGGCAAGAATATCTTCATGTCGCTGATGAGTAAGCTGGATCGGTGAAAAGTGAGGAAGACATCCAGCTTGCGCTCGTCCCTGTCCATTTCGAGGAGCGGTTGCACTTCCTTCAATACCGGAATTTGCGGTCGCACTCTAATAAATACATAAGAAACAGTAATTATGTGATGTATAAAAAAGAGAGAAGGGAGCATAATTTAGACGTACTTATCATAAAGACTCTTTAGTGACATGTTGTCATCCAGGCTCTCCTCGTACATATCGTAATGAAGAATGAGCCAGGAGGTCCTAAAAGGCCACTGTTCAGTAATATTGATCCAACTAGCTAGATGATACCAGTTGAAGTCAATTTGGAATGCTTTGAGTAATCGTCCTAGAAAAGAAGGATATATATATATATATATACGGACTAATCATATAGATTTGTATAATAAGACACACGATCGCGCAATTCGATGCAGTTCTTACCAGTGACATAAACGACATTCATCAATCTTCTCATGCTACGCGGGTTCACGTCGCTGAAATAATCGTCAGTAAGCAGCATCTTGTTAAGATCCTGCGCACCGCCTAATCGATTTAGATTACTGCCGATACTGCTAGCGATCGATTCGCTCAATCGCAATTTTCTACTGCCCTTCCTGGTCTGGGGTTTCAACTTCTCGTTGCTATTCATTATCGCTGATTCCGAGCTAAGTCTCCGATTGGATACCGAGTGATGCATGGTGCTAGTCGCAGTATAGTTGACGCTCTCCTCAGCCTCCGTCCACGCTGTCTTTTTGCAGTACTGAGCGGTCTGTTGCGCGACCTTGACTTTACGTAAGCCACTGTTTTGCAAGTAAAACGGCAGGTGCACCATGTTCCGCAAGTAATCGTGACCGCCGATATTCGATTCCGAGAATAATCTTCTGCTATTCACTTCCACCGCCTGTGTCGAAGAATAATTTTTATCATTTATCGAATCATTGGAAGTAAAGTAGAGAATACAATTTCCTAACTGCTTACCTTAGCTATAATATGTGGGTCAATTGCTAATATTACGACAAAAGGATACCCGTTGTCACTAAATAAGGCCTGTATAGCGTCCAAAACTAGTAAAACTTTATCCTGTTCACAACTGTCTAGACCGTCCACTATTATGACTAGCCTACTTTGTTGAGCCATGAAACTGTCCAAGCACTTGACCTATTTAAGGATTACGATTAAAGACTAGACTGTTAAAATAATTAGTATTATCATCGATAGATAGGTAATTTACCATTTCCGTCATCAAACTGACTTCGCTTCTCAAAGTCTGAATGAATCCTTCGCTTTTCAGAGTTTCCAGTTTCGAGATGCTACGCTGAAGATGTCTCCTCTGTGAAAAAACCAACGCCTGCAGCGTTCTGCTCCACGTGTACAAATTCGCTATTATACTGACGGCCAGGAGCAAACAGATCGTGATCATGATGATGTGAGCAGTTACTCGATCTATCGTAGGCCTAAATATACGAATTCGAAAGACGTAAGATGACCGCGACGTGTACATTAATTTAAAACATTCAATGCGTAATTACTCACTCGTCGCTCGACATTTCTATAAAATACACCGTAAGCACCGAGAGACCAACTAGCAGGCTGCAAAAGCAGAATTCGAATATAACTATGTACGGCAAACAACATAGATGCCTCCATTTCCACTTGGTCGTCGACTTGTCTGGTTTCGGTCGAAACGCTCTGTATAGCCTGGTGGCAAACAAACCGAAGTCGTTCTCAATTGAGTCGTAAAGCGAGCCGACCATCTGGACAACCGCGTTCTCGCCAGCGGCGGTCGTTCCCACGCGGGTCTGATCAGTGAAGTAAAATTTGATCGGCTGCACTGCTATGCTATCGTGACACTGACCGCCCGGTGGATGGCAAAAGATGACTTGCAACAGTAGTTTTAGCGCGTTCAGTTTTGTGGTGAGCGCCACTGTCAGATTATACGGCCAGTACCAATCGTATCTGCAATTAAAATGTCATCTCTGATGAGGAAGTCGAGTGAATTACATTTTTCGCTGGTTTTTTTCCTCTAAGTCTTACCTCTTATTAGCATACCAAACGAGTACCAGAAAGATATAAACGATAACCAGTAAACTTATTCCGACTGATAGACCGATGATCCACGATTGTAATGAGAGACCTATGATGAGACCCACTACTAAGGATATGTGCGCTACTACTAGAAAGAGCAACGAGGAGAATTGGAATACTGGATCGATCCATTGTCGTGCAAAGTTCTTCATTTCCTCTGTAAAGAATAATCGTTGTTGTTAGTATTATAAGTTTCTCATATAGCTTGAATATGTAAATTACACAGTCATGTATTCTAATATTCAAACTTTCATGAAGAAGAGAGCTGACGATCTTCCATTAAATTAATATTCTACTTTAGAGATATATAGTTACAATATTTAAATAATTTTCTAAAAGAGAACATTTACTTCAAATTCATGAGATATTTAAATCTATAAGGCAAATTTTTAAATAGGACTGGAATCAACTCTGCAAGTTATTTGATGATACCCTTCAGCTTGTTCAGTAGGAATGACTTTCCAGAACCCCATTTTGCATAAAGGCCGACCGTAATCGGCGTAGAAAGAGACGGTTCACTGAGGATATCTGCCAGCGCGCTGCTATACAGGTCGTATCCAAGCATATTCTCATTATCTTCGTTAGTATTTAAACGTCCTACAATATTAATCATTAATTATTATACAAATCGTACGTTAGAGAAAATTAAACGTGTCCGTGAGGAGAATAACGACATGCGAAAACTTACGAGCACCAAATATCTGTCCAAGAATCGTCTTGGGATGATTGACGTCGATGTTGTAGGGTGTCTCGCCTTGTCTATTCGGACGGTACAATAACTGGCTATTCTTTGGATTCCTCAGTAGTATCTCGACGATCGCTTTCGATCGCGCACGCATCGCCACGTGCAGTACAGTGTCGCCCTTCTTGTCCGTAGCCGAGACCTTGGCTTTCTTGTCTAAAAGCAATTGCACGATTTCGGCGTTACGCGACCTCACTGCCCTCAGTAAAGGCGTGTCGCCGTCTTTCGTCGCAATCTCCAGGTCTGGGTTAGCGTTTAGTAATAATTTGAGTATCGGCACATTGCCTTTCTCTACTGCTATGTAAGTTGCGGTTTTTTATCCTAAAATATATACGGACGGGATGGTTAGTTCAAAAGTTTTATACAAAATCTTCATCTTCGGCTAATCGCGGAAAAGTCAAGTGTGAGAGCCTAGCTCAGAGTCCTAGCTTACGGATACCACGAGACTGGAGATTCTCGTTATCAATTATTTTTTACGAAGGTTTGCATATTCCGTTGTGTAGAAGTGGAATGATCAATTTTGGGAATTATAATTCCGTGAAAAACGTGATACCGTTCAAATCGATCTTCATAGAAGATACGAGGATTTAAAAAGAAGAGTAAAATCGAGTCGTTACCTTTCCGGCTATATCGACGTCCGCGTATTTCTTCAGTAACGATTCCACCACGCTTCGATGACCACCTTTAACGGCATGGATTAAATTCGTATCTCCGGCTCGATCCTGAATATTAACATATGCGCCGGAATTTAGAAGGGCGCTCGCTATTTCGTGATGACCTTCTCGGCAGGCTATCGCTAGGGCAGTGCAACCATCCTTATCTAGAGCGTTCACGTTGGGCTTGTGCTCCAATAGAAGCAACGCTACTTCCACGTGATTTCCCAGGGTTGCTACAAGTAGGGCGGTCCACGAATACTACAAATAAAATTGTTAAAAACATTATTATATGTAAATATTATATCTTAACAATCTTATTGTATAATACCAGATTTTAGTCATGGTAGATAATTTATGTACATAGAGAAATCTAAGGCAGGATCTGATTATATGTCCTAATTCTAAATATATAATATTTTTAATTGTTAAAAATTTTTTTTCAAATTTCTTACCATGCCTGCCGTGTCAACATTAGCCCCGGCCTTGAGAAGAATATCTACTATTTCTACGTTTCCCTTGCGCGAGGCCCAGACGAGCGCCGTGGTACCATACTATACAAAAATAATGAGGACAGGTCAGTCATATCTGAAAAGTAAATGCGATGGCCATCGATTTGCGATATCGCTCTTGCCGACAATTACCTTGTCGCCGACATTGACCTTCGCCCCATGAGCAATGAGATCTTTGACTATATCAGGATAACCCCTGCCAGCGGCCCATAATAATGAGGAAATATGAAAATTTCCATGCGCGTTGACGTCAGCCCGCGCGCCAGCAACATCGTCACCGTCGCCGACCTGCCCTTGTACGTCGCCCACATAAGAGCCGTCCACCCACCCTGTAATAAGATAGTCTTCGATCTTTTACATATGTTCATTTATATATATAAAAATTTATAAAACTATTTATGAATAAACGCCCATTAAATTTTACTAATATTTTTACGAATATATTATAATATTTTATATTTTTTCTAATAAAGATAAAAATGCAAATTAGTTTCGGAAAAGAATGTCCACATAATTACGTTAGGATATATATTACGTTACGTAAAAAAATTGGATATAAGTTATATTGATGTAGCTAATCTTTAAACATGAAGTAAAGACTTGTGGCCTTAATCTATACGATGTTAAATAGGACAGTTCTTGTCGAGTTTTCAATTATAAATTTACATTAATGGCACTAGGCCAGGCCAACAAGATATACAACTTCCTCTGACCATGTCTCGATGCTCCAGATCGGCACCGTGCTCCAACAACTCGAGACAGATTTCGGTGTAGCCTTCCTTTGCCGCGCATAGCAGTGCCGACCAATTATCCTAAAAGAATTATGCAGAATTATGCATATTAAAGTTTTAATCTATTCCCAATAAATTCAGAAGTGTTGTCGTCAACAGGTACCAACCGCGTCTTCGGCGTTGACGTCCGCTCCATGATTGATGAGTTCTCGGACAAAGTGTATTTTCCCCTTGGTTGCAGCAAAGATGAAGGCGGTGCTACTATTCTGTAATAAGAAAATAATTTGTCAACAAAATTCACGAGAGAAAACACGACAAATATGTATGAGAACTTTTTTTTCATATGACTATTATTTTTCATATTAGAGTATTAGAGATTTGACGTTTCTAAAGAATTATCTGATGCAATATATTATATGATTTTAATATATATTATAATATTGATATATATTATTTTTCCCCTTATATTATTTTTTTTCTAGAATTTTTTATGTAATAGAGATTTTATAATCACTTTTTTATCATTCATTTACATCCTTTATATATGTATAAGCATATCGCATAATTTGATTCTTCTGGAGTTTCTGATAAAAAGAGAACAAATAAATTGCTAATCTTTCTCCGGGATTTTTAAAAATGATCTACAATTACCTCATCTCTGTCGTCGACCTGCACTCGTTTATTTTCGAGGAAACTCTGCAGTCCGGCGAGATTATCATCTGTGATGTAGCTTGTAAGTGATCGGTAACAAAGCGATACCATCGAGTCAGTCCGATGCAATGTCTGTGAAAGTATAAGAAAAACTCATTATTAGATTTAGTCACGTTTTTGATTCTTATCACTGTTATTAAAAAAACCATTAGAGCAAAACTCCCAAAGATAAGATTAGATTAATTTAATTACTACTTGTAAAATGCATATACGAATGACATATTGCATCACTGCATCTTAAAACTCAACACTGCAAAAGCATTGTTATTTGTTATAATTTTTTACAATTAAATTGTGGCCTTATTAAAGTTTTATATCCTTGTTAAATGTGACGTACAATTTCTGAGATTCTTTATTTTTCTTATTCTTTCTTTTCAAAATATGATAATTTATATTGATAAATAAAGACCTCTAATCTAATCTGACAATAAAATAATTAAAAAATTATTTATCTTATCGATGTATTTAAAATTAATCTTTATATTTGAAATTTTATTCAAACATTCCCCTTTGCAATGCTGAGACTTTTTCATATATATATATATATATATATAATATTTAATATATTATTATAATGTAATAATATTATTAAAATATATACTAATAATAAATAGTTAATTTAATAATTTCAAAGATTGATTTTTTTTTCAAGTTATTCGAATCTCTTCTTCGCGTTAATTAATCAAATGTCTCAATTGAACGTATCTATAGAAATGTGATTTATGAAATATCTCGTGATCAAATATTCGATATAAATTGTACAGTTGGGCCACAACAAATTATGGAGCTTTCAAGATATCAAGATATATAAACAGCCAAGCAAGCATCGATCACAATTGTAGAGCAACCTTACATCTTACTAGTATTTATCTCAAACTGTGTGTAAACTGTAAATAAACCAAGAAATCCTAGGATTATTGAAATTTTGAATCATAAATTTTATATCGCACATTTTTCAGCTTTCTTCTTAAAATTTGCTCTATTATAAAGTATTCAGGTTCTCAGCTCCAAAATAAAATAAAATATATTTTCGATTGTAGATTTTACCATAAGTAAAATCAAACCATCACACAATTGAATTTCTCTTCTTTTGTCAAATAAGACTAGACTTTTGTAATAATAATATTGCGTCATACAGCAGCATGAGTGAAAGTAGGATGTATTATGAAGATACTGCATTAATCGTTTTTATTTAGTTGCAATTGAAGTGCGTGTTCTCTCTATCGAGAGCAAATGTGGAAAACTATACATTTCTCGATAATTCAGAATAAAATCTGGGTCAATGATAATGAATAATACATGTGGATGATAAGGAACGATCGTGTATGGCAGTATAGTCGGAGAAACTAGAGAATTATAGTGTTAATTGTAAATACTAAATTAAATAAAAAGACTGTGTGTCAAAATTCAATTTTTTTAAGTTTTTCTTGTGTGTGTATATAATATGTAGAAAAATTTTATTCTTTGCCATTTTTCATTATTTTTATGCTTTTTCTATATTTATTTCTAATATATCTTTAGCAGTTACATAATTTTGTAATTGCTTTGTCAGTTTAAGTTTGTTAGTGACCTGACTAATTTGCGCGCAAAGATATTAGCATACATAGCAAAATCTAATTTTACAATCAACTTCTCTATTCTAATGCTTCTCAAACATTGAGCTTTGTTACTATCAAATTTACCAAATATTGTAACAATCAAGATGTTAATATCGTAGAATTAAAATGCGTTATTAAACATCAAACAGCATAATTAGAAGAGACATAATTTTCTAGTAAATATATATATTTCTATTAGAGTATCTTCTATCAGAAAATGTTATGGAAACAATTAATAATGACATTTCGCCTTAACGTGGATTATCGATAGTTTGCAACCTAATGCGCGTCTTGGCATTTACGATATATAAAAAGATAATGTTACGGCGAGATTATATACTCTCTTATAATCCTTCGACGCGTAAATCGTCTTCTATCTAACAATAGACGATAATAGTAATAATTATTGAACACTGCTACAACATAGAAAAATTTTACATTCTATTGTGACATTAAGTCTAAGAATATTTACAACACAATTAGTTAATTTAATTTTATATACATATATAACACACTATTAATATTTCATATGTTAGATTTTAAAAATAAATATCCAGTTAAAGAAAATAGAATTGATAGATACACAGTTTGTCAAAAATATATAAATCCGCATATCTTCTTCTCTTCTGACGTGAAATAAAAATTCTAAAGCGTACTCTCACATCAATCTTCGTATCTTTGAGTTATCCCAAAGAAAAATCTTCCTGATGCTCGAGGAATCCTTTATGCTTTCGGAAATTACGGTCCGGATTTTTACTGAATAAAAATTTGATGTTGAAGCGTGAAAATGCACATACACATACATACACACGGTTAGAAGTGCATTAAATTAGCTCTACTTTGGTCGATTTTGTCACTTGAAATCGTTGGCAGTGGTATGGCTTGTACATACCACAGTTGTAATATTGATGTTTTGCATCAGGAAGAGTGTCACCGTATTTAATTCGCGAGCGGATATAGCGCAAACATCATTAAAGATCGATGACAGATCTGAATCAGGCAAAATTCCATGAAATACGTACACACGTGGCAGTTAGTTTTACGTAAGTGTTTCCAAAATTTGTCTAAATATAAAACTGATTTTTCGCATTAATAAATAATCAACAAAATTATAAATATATTATCAGCCATGTAAAAAATTTATCAGATTATCTGCCAACTATAGGATTACGAAAAATGTCATTAAATTAAAAGATAGTGATAAAGAAGAATTATAAACAGTTAAAGAGTTTCTGAAATACAATTTAATCGTATATGAAATTTTGAATATTTATATATTCTTGGACTTTATAGATATTTCTTGAAATTAAATTTTTTTGTCAAATTTATTTATTTCAGTATTTCGTTAAAATAAAGTCATTCAGTCAATATAAATGAAATAATAGACAACTGTTATCTGAAATAATTAGTATATTATTAATCGACATACTCGCGGATTAATTTTATTCTCTGGCTATAAATGCTTAAGCAACAATTCCGATAAGATAAAAGCTCAAATTACGTCAATGCTATCATTGTCGATCTTTATCGGTCTGTAACTACAATTAATATCCGCAAACATAGTGTTCACTTAAGAGTACCGTCATCTAATAGTTTCGACTTTAATAATGTCGATCTTAATTAGGTATGGTCAATATAAAGCGTCAATCATTATTTTAAGCAGAACGCGTATACAAATTAATCGAATCTAGTGTTATATAGAGACACTCACGTCAATGTCTGGCCAATATGATTTCCACATTATGGTTGGCTTCACTATATTTGATAAAATCACAATAAAGAATTTTAATTTTTTTCTTTGAACATGTTGACTGTCCAGCGAATTTTGTATGTCTTTCCATACACGTCAAAAAATAAAATTTTTACTATCATAAATATATATAATAAAATATATTGTCTGTCTTACACTTTAAATTTAAAAATATATTTCATTTTCGATTATACTTAATATTCAAATAATAATATTAATATTAGTTAATTAATATTACTTATTAATATTAATGAATTTATTCTATTAATATTATAATTATTATTTGATTTTTATTCAATAACCATCATAGCAGTGAACCAACATGTTAATGTATTAATATAATCAAGTAGTTCTGAATCATTTCCATGAATATTCTAAAGTTAACTAATTTAAATACAAATTGTGTAAAATTCCGAACTATAAAATAAAAGTAAATTCAACAATTTGTTACTTCATATTTGAATTTTACAAGTTATTAGTTAATTTCTGTTTTTTAATCAATAACGTTATACTATCCACTTGAATTGTTGTTATACCTTTGAATCGGAGAAACAAGATATTAGACTGAAGTCTGGCCAGACTCTGACTCTCTCAACAGATGTTAGGAAAAACCGATAACGCCACCAGAAACGACGTGCATCTCCGTGAATTCACACTAACCGCCTGCGAGTGCCTTCGGATGGCGAAGTTGAACTTGCGGCCAGTGCCATCGGTGGCTGGCGCCGTGAAGGTGATGGTGGGTACATGAATATGCGGGAACACGTGATGATGATGATGGTGATGGTGATGATCGTGCTGATGCAAATGATGCTGACAGTTCTCGTCGGCGTCGGCAGTCCATATCGCGTCGAGATGCGGCCCGGGTATGTGAAGACGCAGAAACGACTTGAATCCGCGACGCGTTCTACCGATAGAGGTGTCGTCGCTGATGGCGGTGGAAGCGGTCGACAGATTCGACAAAGTAGCACTTCGATGCAAATTACCGTCCCTGTGATCTCCGTTCGGCAAGAGGGAGTTCGGCACTCCAGGAATAGCCCCGAGCAAGCTCGGAGCGAGACTCGAGCAGATCGCCGCGTTCGCGATGCTGAACTTCCGGATGGGATTCACGCTGGTCCCGGCCAGGATGTCCTCGAAGGTCGGAAAATTCTGGCCGGTCTCGTGGAAGATGGACTGGCTCAAATCGGCGTTTGTCATCGGTAACGTTGACCTGCGACTGTCGTTCTTGCTGGATTTCTCGTCGAGGCTATCTAGCGCGGTGATTGCCACTAAAGGCACTGATTTTTCTACTTTTCTGCTATCCGAGTGAAAAAGGTATTCGTCAGTCGACTGTTCCGCTAACTTTGGAAGACGAAAACGTTCACTGGATTCCGAAGTCTCCGAAGGAATTTCCAAGAAATTTGCTGTTAATTGAAAACGTTTCAATGACTTATCTACAGTAATTAATTTCGTATCAGTGCGCGCTTCCTCGATCGATGGAGGTTCAAGCCTCATTGGTGAGTCCTTCGCAATGACAGCTCTGTGTTCGGAGAAGTTTCTGTTGGAATTATCCATTTGCGGTTGGATTTTCGAAATCGCTTCGCTATTCTTATTATCCTCCTTTTTCGAAGTATGATGATTTAACACCGCACATTCGTCCGTATTATTCAAATTCGATCGCAGATCGATGCTTTCTGACGACTGTTTGAAAACACAACTTCGATGCACGGATGATGATGTGGATGGCGAAGATTCAGAGTCGGATGCGGCTAAGTTTGAAGAAATTTCGGCTTTGGCGATGCTGCATTTTTTTCTCGCTTTTATCAAGCCGTCGTTAGATGTTTGTGCAGTTGCTTTTTTCGATTCTTTTATTAGGGATGCTTCTTTCTCGTCTTCCTTCTCGTTGTCTTCTTCGTCAAAGCTGATGCGGAAAAAAGCCGCCGTAATTTTAATACGCTCGTCTTTGGCTTTCCGCATGGCATTCTCTTCTGATTCTCTATTCAGCACGAAAATCGAAAACTGCCTTCATTGGCTGCGAGTGAAACACATGCATAGAACCACCGAGCTTTTAATAAAATTTGAGCGCACTTTTCTAATTGTGTAAATGTGAAACTGTCATATGACGAATCTAAAATATTTGGTATCAGTATCATTTGAAGTATCTTTTTAAAAATTTTGTTTGTGTGTCATGTGTGTATGGCAATATTTTTAAAAATATAGATATATGTATAATGTTAATTTAATGTAAGAATGAAAAATGAGTAGATATAAATGTTCTATATATTTATATAGAATAATAAATTATTTTTTTAATATTAGATCTGTAGAGAGAGTAAAGCTTATCATTTTAATACAATAATATTACTATTTTTTATTTCTAAATTATAGGTCGACAATGAGAGGAAACACAGCTGACAATTATTTATGGATTGAAAACGATGCAGTTTTGATTAATTTTTAATGCCGTGGGAAAAATTAATTATTATGAATAACTACAGCATAAAAAATCTCAACTCACTGACTGAATTTCAAACCCTGCCATAGACGCAATTAATTTTCCTCGAAGAGAAATCGACCGTAAAATTAATTCTAACTTATCGATATATGTATACCGTAAGAAACGGACCCTTGACAAAGTGGTGAGTCGGAGCATCTTTTCCAAATTTCGTGTGGTCGATCCTCGTTTGCGATCCAAATGATCGACTTGGCTGATCCGACAGCCGCTACTTCGCGACTTTTTCCTCGAGCGCAATTGTAAAGATTATCTGCCGGTTCAGAACTGCGAGTCGCGAAGAACCAATGATGCCGACAAATCGCGAACAATGTGTGAATACATCACGCGACATTTATATATCGCGGTGGGATCTCTTTAATGCTCGGGTACATATATACAGTCTGAATCACATTTGCCGCGGGTTTCGTGCGTAACGGCGCGTGCTGCGCATCATCGCGCAGTGCCGTATGAGCTTCCTACAATTATTTTTCTTCGTTTGACATATCGCCGATTTTAATATCGAGAGACATGTGTTTCTAAAATTTTTATAAAATTTACTTATAATTTATATCGTGGAAAAAAATTAGTCTAGCTAAATTTTAACTGATAGCTAATATTTTTTAACTATAGAATTCTTCGTTAAACTACAGCTAAAAAATATTATTTCAATATCGAGAGAGGGAGATATGCGTGTTTTTAAAATTTACATATAATTTATATCATGGAAAAATATTAGTCTAGCTAAATTTTAACTGACAGCTAATATTTTTTAACTATAGAATTCTTCGTTAAACTATGGCTAAAAATATTATTTTAATATCGAGAGAGAAATATGCGTGTTTTTAAAATTTACATATAATTTATACCATGGAAAAAAATAGTTTAGCTAAGTTTTAGCTGATAGTTAATAAATGATAGCTAATATTTTTTAGCTATATATATAGTATTCTTCGTTAAACTATAGCTAAAAAATATTATTTTAATATTAATACCTCAGCTAAAATTTAGGCATAACTAAATTTCAGGTTGCGATATAGGAACAATTAAAATTTAGCTATGGTAGCTAATTTTTTTTATGTGATTAAAAAACTAACACTAAGAAGATATAATATAGTGCATTTAAAAGCATAATTAATTTGATTATTTCTTTTTTTAAATAAAATATTTGTATAATAAATCTCAGGAGATTAAATTAGAACAGCGATACATATGCATGTTGACATATGTCATATAATATAGGTATTTTATTTTAACAATAGAAACAAAAAGATTTTTAAAATATTTGTCGTTCATTGGAGAAATATTAAATTTAAATAGATTGTCTGAATTTAATTAAAAAAATGGCATTTTTAAATATTTGCAAACTGTGCTTTCATCTGCAAACAATGATACAAAACAAATCTATATTAATTCAATGCCGGAAAAAATTGAAAAAAGCACAAGTTTTGCGCTTTTTTATACCGTTCACAAATATATATATACAGAATAATAAACGGTATGTAGAATATGTAATTTCTCAAAATACATGTAGAATTGTTCAGGATAGAATTTCAGTAGACAAAAAAAGATTTTTTCGAAATAAACGATAAAATAAAATTTATATATTGTATATATATACATATATAAAATATTTCAACGATTAGCAATATGCGGCACAGATATAATTGCAAGCGCTTTGTAATCTTCCGCGATTAATCATATGATTACATATATTGTGGATATGGCGCGACGGCGGTTTGATCAAGCAATTTGTAAACCGTGATAAACTCCCGACGCGTTTAAATTGTGATTTTTCTTTTCGTCTTGCAGTAACGTATCTACTGACTCAATTAAGAGCTCGATTGAAAACACGAATGGATCCTTGATTGTCGGGAACGCGTGCATGATTGGATTATATACAAATAAATTCTCAGTTTACTTTGCACAGGTACGTAAATAATTTCGTGAATTAATCAAATCTTTATTCATTTATATTTTATATCATGGGACACGTGCGATCGAAACAGGCTCTACGAGTATATAGTTAAATAAAATCGAAAGCCTGTGCCATTGGTCACTTATTAATGGAAAACTGGTTAAATAATTGATGAGAATGTCAAAGCGAAAAAATATTCTGACACAATTGCCACGAGCAAGAACAACGAATTGAAAATATATAAGAATAAAATTAAGATATTTTGCAATATCATAAATATACATATAATATGCGAGTGTGGTTGAAATAATATATTTACAATAAAAAAATGTACTGAAATAATTTGACATAATTACTATTTATATAAATATAAATTTTTCAAATTATATATAATAGATAATTGTTAATTATTTTTTTCTTATTACACTCTAATAAACATTGTGTTCATTACAAGAAAGCAATAATAATGATAAAAGGAAAAATGGAAATTAAATTGATCGTAAAATATCGCTTTAATTTAAACATGGAGGTTGCTTTTAGCGGCATTCGTTGTGGTTAGTTCTCGCGCTAATCTCGACCAATTAAACTCTCAGTAAACTAATCAATTGTGTGTTGTGCGGAACCTTTACTGGGCTTCATAAAATGAAACGACGCCGTTCGGCAAAACAATGTCATCATCGCCACATGGCAAAGAGCAATGAGCTAATAACACTCTGTCGCGTAATTATACAACGATAAATTATATTTTTTACATGCAATAAATTACGTTTTGAAATTTCATCATCTGACTAAATAGGATGAAAGAATAATAAATTTTAAAAAAAGTCACAAGAGGATCGAGAAATTCCTTATCAAAGAATATTGTTGCAAGAATTTATTTTATAAGAGATTTAGGTATAATAATCTCTTAACTCATTTTTTTAAGAAGAATCAAAAAATTAATCTACAATTTTTACATCAAATTTCTCTTAATATTTTCTCAAGCTTTTAGAAGATTAAATGGCTCGCTTAATTATATAGGTATTTGGAATACAGCAATCATTACATTTTGAATTATTAATATGTGTTGCAAGTTTCTCAGATAGTAGGTTAAATAAATCACAATGTTCGGACATTGAAAAGCCAACTGATTGTAAGAAGACGTCACGTTGTCACATGTATATATGTAATAATATATATATATGGTGGCGATCAATGAACATGTGATAGATAACGACGAACGATCGTAAAATCTGGTAGTAGTAATTGCGAAATAGACGGGACATATACCGTAAAATTCATTGTGATTAATACTCGTAGATGCATCAGAAATTAATGCATGTTGAAGATGAATTAATATTGTCAAAAGTGAATATTATTATTTTCTTTTACAATTTCTCTTTGTAATACGTAAAAATATCTTATATGCTTTTATTAATTAATTTATTGTTATACAATTTCGTAATGGTTTTATTATTATTGCAATCTGTTATGGAAATGCAAGTTGATATTATTAGTTTCGATAATTTGAAACCTTTACATATTATGTATTAAGGTATCGATATTATTAAATTCATTTATATGATATTAATAAGGTTCCTGTTCTTGTCATTGAAATGTTTATCGCTGCATATTATTTGTGGAGGGTAAATATGTATATGTGACAACTATAGACGCTATTGAAAACCGATGAAATATTTATAATTATATGATAAAGAGTATACAATGTCCTGTTTTCAGCATGTTACTTTAATCCAATTGTAATATAAATACAATTATAGTATAATAAACTTATTTAAACATTTCCTGCCAGAAAAAATTTTATCATAAAAGATACATTTAATATTTTTTTAAAAGAGCGTTGCATTAAATTTTAGCCAATTAGTAAATTTAAACTGTAATAAACAAAACATTCCATTCAAATTCTTCAAAATTATTCGAATAAATAATTCAAAGAATTTCGTATGACGCCGTATAATCGCATAAATCTATTGATCATTTTCGATTCTTTTTTCTGGTATGAAATTTGTTGTAAATAATTTATTTCGGAGTACACCAAGTAAAATATGTATTCAATATTTTGTTAGATTTTTAACTATAATAGATTTTTATTTCATATAAATAATAATATTAATTTTCAAGTCTTTTTTTGTCTTAGAATTGTATTCAACTAATTTACATTAATTACCAAATAAAATTAAAAATGTTTGAATTATAACATTATTCTTTGCGATAAATAATCAATTCAAGGCAATATAATTTAGTTCGATAATTAAAAGTTATCTTAATGTAAAAAAAATTACACATATCCTTGTCACAATTTATTTATGACAAATTATTCACAAAAATGTAATTTCAAGTCTTTGCAAAAATATTTTAAATCACAAAGTTCTCTGTAAAAAGCCTTTTTATGTATATAAAAAAATTATTTATTTTATCGAAAGCATCCATTGCAGAATATATAATTTTAACTCAACGTTCATAATTACGATAAATTTTGCACGGTTTACGTCAAGCGCGACAAACATCGTAAGTAAAAATATCTAATGCTGCTTATTCTAAGTCAACAAACACTATAAATATCGAGGAAGTAAATATCAACGAAAAT